AGTTTTGTTGTTTGGCCAACTACATCAATGCCGGGGGGGGGGGGGGGGTGAATGATGTAGTTAGTATCTCGTTATTGGTAGGCTGTACCTTTGATACCTGAGTATATCTATTAAGTGTCTACAATGAAGACTCTCCTATATGTTAGCAATTGCAGCTTTTTACAGGGGGGGGGGGGGATGAGGAATTTGAGAAAAACTGAGAGATGCAACGTCTAAAGACGAAGTGAAATTGTGTAATAGACAAACTGAAGACTAGGAATACCACGCAGTTCAGAAAATCGATTTATCGATCAGTGGCCTTAGAGGCAGCTGAGTTACGGTAGTTTTTTGTATTTTTGAGGTGGAATTACTATAAGAAGAGTGAAAGAAATTCCGTCATAAAATGAATGATCCTCAGCTCGCAAGATGCTCTAACCTCGGTTGAAAGCTTTGCGAAACAAATCATTTTCCACTATTTTTTGTATGTACGATATTAGAAGAAAGAATAAACAGTAAACAGCTTTGCTTGAACAATGAGTTCTTCGGTAAAATCTTACACGCTAACCTCTTCATGTGTTCAATCAAACCTACAATTCAGTTCCCAACTCGTGAAAAAAAATAACGTTTTTCTTCTACCATTTCTTTATCGTAAAAATAATCGTGATCGTAAAAAGACTGGCGAGATGTCACCTTTTCTTCGAGTAACTTCAGAAGGATAGTAAATGCACTACTGAATTAGTGACAGTCTAGCGATTCTGAAATTATCTTGATTAGAGCTTTTAGTAACGCTTTCGTTTGCGCTGTCGTTTTGGCAGACTATTGACTTGAAAAAGTTCCAAAAAAAAACAAATTGATCCTAATCAACTGCAAGTCATATACGCTATGATTACGTAAAACAAAGAATTGTTAATAACTACAAGAATAGAAACGGACTTTCCAAACTAATTTTACATTCGTGATGTGGACCCTACGCCCCCTCCTGAGAGATTGAGTTTGCTCAGAGAGTCATGTTTCAAGCAAGTCGAGTGGAGTAGCGCACTGACACATTAGTAACTAAGCATTCCATGTTGTACTAAGATCAAATAGGAGTTCCTTGTGAGTGGACAAATACCATTAAAAAGCGAAACGATAATTGCGTATAAATACACTTGGAACGAACGAGTTGAAAATGAAACAAGAAGAGAATGAGAAAGCTGGATGGTTATCTGCTGAAATTCATGCATAAAAATTCTTCTAGGAGCAAACAGTTTGTATTATGAAGCATACTATAGTTTTTTTTTTGTAAAATCTCAATGGATCAGGTAATTAAGTAGTGGTAATAATCTTAATCTAGTAAATGAACTTTGAAGAAGTAATTCAAAGTATCTTGTGTCTGACCTCGTACTGCATAGAATTAGCAATGAGTATATTTGATTATACTCATTGCTAATTTTATGCAGTGTACTATACGATATACATTAGTTCTAGGAAGAAAGCGAAGTACTACATTTCAAGACCAAGAAGTAAAAAAAATATTTTTGAATTGGATAGAATTTTTTGCACATTGCTGATCCCTGACTTATCGCAATATGGGTCTTCGGTAAACTCTGAAGTTATGTTTTATTTATAGCGTTTTTTCATATTAAAAACAGCCGAACCTATACCTATACTTCAGTCCATAGAATTTTATCGTTGTGCTCAATGAAAGGCAGACATTCGAAGCAGACATTAATGACAATGTTAAAACATTTCGGTGTTTGGAATTTTGTCAAGCTTGCAGCAGCGCATCTGAACAAAGAGACGCCCACTAGCGGACCACATAGTTCAATCGTTGATCAAGGGTCATCCCAAATAGTAAAGCGAAAGAATAGGTGAAGTACCTTAGCTCAGTGAAGCAGTGCTTTACTATTAGGGTGTCCCATAACTTTATACCGTTTTTACTCTAAACATCGACTTTTTTCGAGAACTAAGACACCTACAAAGGGTACACATACATGATCGTACTTCTATATGTATGAGCTATATGATCGCATGCGTGGGAGGAGCTCACGACTTTAGGAGCGGAGTTTGCCATTTTACTCCATCCAATTTTTTCTTTATTTCTAGCCATGAAAAAAAAATACGGAAAGTGTAGACTCAATGTTCGATGTGTCAAGCATACGCTAAGATAAATGGGGAATTTTTGGAATTTTTTAGGGGCGGAGATATGATTTTTGACTAAAAAGATCGTTTTTGACTGCTATCAGATTTCACCTTAATTTTTACGTAGAAGACGATTTGGACTGACTGACTCTGATACCCATCTTGTAGAGATCGCTTTGCCCTCTCGAATGATTACTCTTACCAAATTGAGGGAAAAATACAAAGTGTAGTAAAAGGTAAAAAATTTAAAAAAAAACCTAATAGTTTGTTGCATAAGTTCAGTCTGTTTTTGGTTGCCTTTATTTGAAGCAGCTGTTCTAAAAGAATTTCGTATTTGATGAGATAGTTAGCATATGTTTGAGAAGAGCTTTTCTTGCTCCTTCTGATACACGTTGTAAATCGATATAAATTTTTTTTCTTAACGAGATTGCATGCATAAGAACGCAAAAGTCCGAAACACCGCCTCTCCTAAACTTCCTGTAAGAAAATCTCCATGATGCTTCCGCCAAGTTAGGTCTATATTGGTTACCGATCGAGAGTGTAATGAGCTAACATTTCCATTATCTGATTTTGTATAAGATTTGCCTTGCTCGTAGAATTGGTTGTCAGAAAGTAATGCTTCATGTAGATGTTCAAGCAAACAACATTCTGTAAATAAAGGTTTTTTGTAAATAATCAATGATCCAAACGTCGTAGGTGATAGAGCAAAACAAGAGCTAGCAGGGATCATTCAAACATTACTCTTTACCGCTGCAGCATTTAAAAAATTTCATCATTTGAATATTGGCATATGCTTCGTTTGCTTAAAAAAATTTCTGGGTCTTGAGGGACTCTACGGAAGTTTTTGGCTATGAAATAATCTCCAAAATTTTCGCTGTCTGCTGATGTCTACTAACTATGCCTGCCAGTTCTTATAGTGGAGCATCACTAGATCACAGAAATACAGGTAAGAATATTGAAGTTTCTTGAATTTTAGCTTCTTCATAACGGAGATTTTTGTAAATCATTGTATTCATTTGATAGCCAAAAGTTTTCTCAATCCAGAGAAACTGCGCTCATGGAAAAAAACACAATTTGGAATGAGGCTTTAATATTTTGAAATTGAGGATTTTGAAAATGAACAGAGTTTATACAGAAACCTGATATGTAGTTGAAAAGACACTAATTTCTTTTCTCGACCGCTTCGCCAACGCAAGCTATGGAAGTCAAGAGTACATATTGGCCCATGCGCAAAATCTTCGGAGCACGATTTATCGAAAATTCTTGCCTTGAGATTAGAGCCATTATTTAGTTTGATTTTCAAATACTCGATAAAACACTACAAAGTCACGGACACGCAAAGTCTGCGTTTTTAAACGCTAGTGTTAGCATGATTCAATTCGCATATACCCTACTCGAAGGGTTTGCGCAAAGAACTGCAAAAGTTTGAATGGAATCTTTGCTCACTTAGACGTGGCAATGGACATTTACATGATTTATAGTCCGCAAGCTTTTCACAGCATAATGTGCGATTGCACGGAAGCACACATTTGCGTGGAAAAATCGGGATGTCTTCGGCTACGCATCAGCTGTAGAGCGGCTCAACTGCTTCGTGGATTTTTTGCGCATGTATAGGTGGTGCAATTGCACATCCTAGGGTCGAAATTGGCTTGCCCATAACTTTGTGAGTTTTAGAATTCAAAAAAACGTTACTGATTGTCAGAAAATGAACGCACATTGTACTCTGAGGGGAAAAATCGTGCTAAAATACTAGATACTAATACTTTATACTAAATACTAATACTAATACTATATGTATTAACATTATAAAGAATACTATGCTATCTAAAATATGCAATTATCTTGCATCAAAGTGAGTTTCCTGCAGCGGGATTCAAACGGATGTGACATCAGTTTAGCTGATCGGCTGCTCTAACATCTAAACAAACAGCTTTTTTCATTCAACACGGAAAGGTGATGACAAAACGAGCGAAAGTGCCGTTTGTAATGTGCGCAAGTTGGCACACAAAGTCCGCAAATATTTAGAGATCTCGTGTAATAGAAATAATATCTCGTGCCGACAGCACGGTATAGCAAAGAATACCATGAGATGATCGAAGCTTGCTTGTTTTTCAAACAAATGAAGGTAGCTAGAATTTCGAGATTAGAACAACACCTTTATCATGCGTCGTTTCTGCGGACTACTGGTCGCTACCTGCTACTGCTATCGTGTGAGGACCAGTAGTCCGCTGCGGCACCTAACGGAGATATTCTTTCCTGTACGCGGACCATATGTAGAGGACATTAGGTCGCCAAAAGGGGAGGTCCGGCGCGGGCATCTGCAACAAATGTGCACTGCTCTCCATCACAACCAGTGCTAGCAGTTTGCGGGGTGGAGCCTACCGGCGACCTCCTGTTCTCTACTGCGGACCGTGTTTGTAGGCGTTGTCCCATATTGCAATGTGTGCAGATGCACGACTTTTGAAATTTCATATGTGGGAACCAGGGCCCGCCAGTGCCGTATTTGCACACAAAGTCGCGACGTCTTTTTGTATAACGTCCGAATTTCAATTTTTTCCTCATTTGCTGATGTTCCTTCACCTCTTCAATGTTCCGAAGGACACTGCACTGCAAAGTAAACAGACAGATGTGATCATTTATGTGTACGTGTCACATTACACATGTACTGTTGGCTAACTTTTGTTTTTGGTTTCGTCCTCTAACTCCTTGAAAAACATCAGTCATAAAGAAAATTTTCATCGAAACCTTGCTCCGAGAACTCTATCAAACTGGTAACTTTGTTTTGCTAATTCCATCAGTCACTTCAGTTGCAATGCACATGAGGATGTTGCAAAGATAATATGTTACGATTTTATCATATATACATACATATAAGATGATTTTAAACGCGCTTAAACATGCATACAACCATAAGATGAGTGAGGCCAAGAGAAAAGAGAACATTTTCACGTAAAAAAAATGCTTTTTATTGCCGAAAATTCGTGCTACAATCACTTAAGTAGATTAAAAGGGAACACAATTCTCTAGCTGTGAGCAATAAGAGATCAGATTAGAAATGAACGAAAGTTCCATGATAGGGGAGATAAACACAGTAAAAATGGTTAAAACGATTAAAACGATTAAAACGATTAAAACAGTCTGGATGAAAGATTATAGAGTCGCGCAGCGGGTGTCGCAATCCGAAAGGTAAGATGAGATCGAGGGTCTTGCGGACCACCCAATCCGGAATCGAATGCGGATAGATTGGAATAACAGACACAAAACGGAGAGCCGTCTATGACACACGAACTAAGGAACCCGCTTAGTGCAGACACATTCTGGTTAATCAAATGAGATCACAGAACAGGAGGACTTTCGTTAGTCACTCTTACAAACCATAACTAGAATTTTGAAAATCTAAGATTCGATATCACTATGCTTTGCTCGTAGACTGAAGTTCTTGATAGGACTCTTGCATGGCTTGCTCCATTTGACGTGAGAATTCTTCTTCATCATCCACTGATTCATCTTGATCATCATCTTCATCTTCTTCACCTTCTTCTATGACGTTATGTACCAACTCCAGGATGGCATTTCTTGAAGCATTCAGAATGTGACTACAGCAGTGGGAATAATGCATACCGTACTTGTCAAGAAACTAACAATTATGTCAAGAAGAAAAGTTACTTTTTTGAAATGAAGCTGCATGACAATGAAATTAAACAAGCAATCCAAAACTAATCATGAAAAAACACGGAAAACATAACCATAAGCATAAATACAAACAAAACCAACCTCGTCTGGATCATCATCATTGTCGTTTGACGAATGGCTTTGAAAGCGGTAGCCAAAATCTCACGTGTCGAAGCGCCTTTGCTGAGGAATTCTTCAACTTCTTTTAAATGATTCTGTGAATCCATATGGCCTGAAAGATCAAACAATCTCTTCTGACACCAGGCTACATAGCTAAATCTCTGCTAAACTCTAACCTGATACATTTGAAGCCTCCTTCTGGACTGTACCAAGACATACAATATCTTCATCCGTTAAACTAGCTAGCTTTCTTCTAGAGAGCCAATTAACCCTACTAAGTTCCTTCTTGACGACAGCCTCGCTGGGACAAATTTCGCTGCAAAATCGGAACATTTGCAAGAATCTGTAGCATGCATGAAGCCTGAAAACTTACAGATTCTGGAGTTGTGACCACATTTCCTCCATGCTGGCATAATCTCTTCGTAACCTTGTTGGTTCACGATAATCAATCAGATCCTCGAGGTAGTATTCTCTGTCATTCTCATCAAGCGATTTATAAGACTCATCCCTATAAGAAAATACTGTTTCATCTAATGAAAAGAATGACAAAAAAAGAAGAACAAAGAAAAATAAAAGAACATCAAAAGAGAACAGTCCTCACCTATCATGCATCCTTTTACCCGTTCGTGTAAGATAGGAGCTTTTCATATTATTTCTAGTCAATGGCCCCCTCCAAAATGGCGAGATACCCTGAATGCTCTAGTGAAATAAGGAATAAAGTGGAGAAAAACAAATCTCACCAGCATATGTTTATTCATATCTACTTCGTCAGGGCTGTTGATAACTGTACCGCAATGATCTCCAAAATCGGGTTTCTTTTCTGGAGCCAATTTTCCTGGCGGAAGCATGAGCACATATCGGAGACGCTCGATTCTTTTCTGTTGAACGACTGCTTCTGAGTCTCCTTCCTCTGCAAAACGTACGTGATCCGTTCTTATCACCGACACAAACCTATGTAAGGTCAAATAAAAAACATACCAAAGTCGCGTTCCATGTCAAGAAGAGTTTTAAGGTACTCCTTCGGATTATAGGATTCGTAAAACCTCTCAAATATTTTGAGCAGATGTTCCTCGAACCGAATTTGCTCACTAACTTGCAAATTCATGTGATGTAATCGGACAGCAAGCTTCCTATAAATAATTAGATTAGCATGAAAGTAAACAATCACACAGCCAAACACAATAAAAATTATCAAAACAAAGAAAACTTGCTCTTTGAGTGAAATCAGATCCACTTCAGCAGCAGCATCTTCTGAGACGACATGAGATCGCGTTTCGCACGAATCACTGGGACCAGAGAAGGGTAACTTCATCGATGGAAATATCTTCGTAGTGTTTTGTCTTTTAAGTTTCCTTCGCGTTCTATTCGATGTGACAGCATTCCACCAACTATGATATACGATGGTTAGAAGATAAAAAATTGAGATAAAAGACGTACTTTTGTGATTGATGAGAAGAACCCGTTGAAAATACATTGTCAAAAAGCTCTTGAGATTCGTTGAGATATGATTTCGCATGTTGAAGAACTGATGCGTAGGACTCAGCTGAAAAATTATGCTACTGCCCATGATAACAGCAATAAAAAAAAAGATTTACATTGAAGAAGTCGTGCTCGCGATCTCCTTGCAGATAAGATGTTACTGGTGACCTTGTGACCCGATTGTATTTTTACTGGCCGGCCAGTCATATCTCGAATGAACGTGCGTTCGATAAAAGCCTGTCAGAGACATCTTTACAGTGAAAACCAAGATATTTGAGAAAAGCAAGATTGAGCCCGAACTAACCTCCTCTTCTCCTTCTTTCTGGGTGATGAAACATACCATCTCATCCATGAGCTGTTCTATTTCCTTTGAATCACTTTCGCTACATGATGTCTGGAAATCCTGTTATGCACAAGCTTTGCCAACATTTCGGCGAAACTGACCGCATGCCGATTATCTTTCTTTTGTTCAAGAGTGAAAGCTTCTAATGATGACTCGTCAACTTTCCTTTCTCCACATGGGACCAGTGGTAAACCCAGAACACCACCAGTATTGTAAAAACTCGGACCAGCACGCGTTAAACCCTGGAACCAGAGGTTTTCAGATAGAGGCAAATTTTCATGCTTCCTCGTAAGAGACCTCATTTGCCTCCAAGCGCTCCTTTAGCACACGCTCCATTAAAGAAACTAAGTCGTCTTTGGTCGCGTCGTCGTTTGCCGCTGAAGGCTGGAAACCGAGTGACTCGCAAAAGCTCCTCACATTCTTCTCACAGTACTCAACGCAACGCTTAAAGGAAATGTTTTCCTTTTCTGTTATACGGTAAGGTGTGCTGACAAACCTCTGCTGCCTCTCGTATATGTATGCTAGAACTGAATTTGGCTTCTTGACGCTGGAGATGCTTGAGCTTTTGGTACTTTTCATAGGTAGATTCGAACTGAAACCGTATACGTCAAAACACATTACAACAACGACCAGCTGTGTCATTGCTCCGCCTACATACAACTTTTGTTATGTGAAGCACATACTATTGAAAAGTTTAGTGCTATTGGACGACAAAGTAAAACCAGCTGCCTACCTTCACAGTACATGCAGCACAAAGTACAAAAATTGCAATGGCTGTGGAGATTAGCATGTACTTGCATAAAAGATGGAAATGGAAGCCAATAAAATTACAAAATCAAAATTTACGGATCAAAAACGAAAATGTAAACATAGTTGTAACTCATGAGAACGAAGAAACCGAAATGTGATAGATGTTACCTCTTCAGCTGACTGGAAATGATTCACAAGCAGGTCGTTATCAAGTGAACACTTCCACGTTTGTATGGAATAAGGACGAGCAACTTGTGCAGAGGCAAACCGATTGCGAGGAACCTGTGAAGCGACAGATAATTGGAAAGAGATCAAACAAAGAAGTGAAGTTCGAACCATGTCGAAGAATGTTTTGGATCCGGATGGTAATGGATCCAGCTCTCTTATTCGCTGCCTGATGCGTTGCTCCTTCTTGCTTTCCTCCAAACAATCAGCCAAAAACCCAGCCACGTCTTCAGCCTGTTGTTCCTCTGCCGACAGAGTGCCTTTTGATGCTGGATCGGTACCCTAAAGACGACTAAAAATAGAGCAAAAAATAAGGATGAATTAATATAACAAATGTGGAAGGTAGACAAGTATGATAACTAATTAACTGAATGCGGTGGAAAAGGCACCAAATCAGTCGAATGTAAAGAACGATCATCAGCTATGGAAAAAAGGGATACATAAAGAAACCTAATCAAGACCAGAAAATTTGTTAAAAGCCAAAATACTGCAGAAACTCACTCGTGCAGATCTTTGTCTCCATGAGCCTCTAGTGCCCTTTAGTTTGATGATTCGGTTCTTCTTTCGCTGTGCAAGTTGAGGCGTAATAAGACTTTCTTCGTCAGACGTATCCTGCTGCTGGGAACTTGTTTCTTTACTATCCTCCGCAGATTCTTGTTCACACTTCTGAAAAGTTGAACGGACTTTGAGATTTAGCTCTCTTTCAAAAAGACCACACCACTTCGGATATTGACTTGGGTAGCTCGATATGCACAGGAGGTACGCTTGCTGCAGATCCCCTAGCAGATTCTAAACATTTTTTGAATATGTGACATTAAAATTAGAAGTTTTCGCAAAGAAACTCAAGACACTCGCCGGGAACTGCTGCTGGTTTGATTTTCTCTTCTGGGCTATCAATGTCCACAAAAACGCTAACACTCTGATGTAACTCCAAGGGTAATGCTAAGAGAAATATTATATGCAAACATAGACAGCGATGAAGGAGATATGTACCTGTAGCTGGACGTGAGTTCGTCCGAGGCCTACCACGCTTCTTTTTCTCCACTACACCCGATGTACTGAAAAATTTCCACTTAGAGTGGCTTACTTATACTGGAATTCAAGATATAAAATCAGTAACTTCAGACAATGGATGTAGAAGAAAGTCGATACAGATATGAACTTAGCATATTGCACACGAAAAAATGGTGTAGACGATAAATCCAAAAACAAAGATAACCATCATGTGGAAGTTTGACTCACATAAATCCAGGATGCCCCGAGAATCTCCACGCCCCCGATCCGCCAGCAATCGGTTGCATAACATTGATCGCCATCTGAAAAAGAACATCAATAACAATGCTAACCGGCGACAAGACTGCTTTAACATTGGAGACAAAGGCTGTCTCGTCACAGCCTGAAGGCTGACGAACAGTGTGCGATAGGTATAAGGGTAAGGTTTCTACAAGGAAGAATATGATTGATGCGATACCTGTTTGCGCAAACTGCGCAAATTATACACACCTTTATCTGCTCCGGCTTAGCGTCCGTTTCAAATTGTTGTTTTCTCATCCTCTTTCTTGGGCTTTCTTCAGGAGTACCATTGACACCCTACAATAACTACGATTACGGATGAACATTATGTGGAAAGCGAATAAAAAGCATGATTAGTCAGCGCTCCATCTCAGAATGATATGAACATGACAGAACTGCTCACCTCCTTGGACCTGAAAAATACAGTATTTGTTATATGACAGCCGTACAACGAAAACTTTATTGAAACAAAAACCAACGATTCAAACGCGGGCGGAGTAGGTCCGGCGTTGTAGGGTGGCACGACATTTTGCGACGAACTACTTGGTGAGCTTGGCGTTTCAACCATAAAAGGGAGCCTACGCTTAGCCGCCACTGGAGTACCCGATCCATCTCCTCTTTTCCGCAGAATACTAGGCCGAGGTGAAGGTGTCGAAATCAGTGGTTGCATCTGAGTTGGAGGGCCAGGGGAACCAGGAATAACGTTAGACATGGCTAAATAAGCAAGATGCGGCTCCAAGCTCATAGAAAATAATTTATATGTGTTCGCAAAGCGACAAGATAAAACAAAAATAAAAAACGAAGTATAAGACAGAAATTAAAACGTACGAGGAGCTTGCAGATGGTGAGAACTATGTGCCGCAGAGGCCAAACGACTAGGAGAAGATACTGTTGCGTGAGGCACAACATACTGAGATGTGGCCTGAGTCTGAAGCAGTTGACGATGATAAGAATATAAACAGAAGCTTGTGAACTTACTCTAGCCATTGTTGGGCTGGAACACTGCTTGACTCCATTTTGTGAGGAGTAACGATTGACCTTAAAAACCAACGGCTTCTCAATTTCGACTAAGTAGAAATCTAGAAGTTACAAAACTCACATGGGGAGAAGCGCTAACTGTTGGACGAGGGACCAAGGTTGGTTGCGGCACTTGAGGAACCAGGTTCTTGTACATAACCTGGGCATGGTAAGTTCCGTGCCTTAGGGGATCTATAGGAGATCTAGCAACAGCAGCGGCTTGCACAGCTGCAAGGGCAACCGCTCCTGGAGATTTACCAGCGTTTGGAGGAGCATGGTGTTGTTGTTGTAACCTATAAAAGCCATGATCTTAACACCGCCACAGCACTCTCTTTTATTATGGCTTACCGCATGCTGTTGATAGTACTGTAGAGACTAGCTTGCATAGCATTCGTCTGGAGTTGATTGGCATAACTTGGTGAATGACTAGTAACACCGCTGTTTGAACTAGGTCGCTCATCTCGATAGCTAAAAAAACGTAAAAATCTTCTCTCAGTGGTTGCAATGCATTAGTCTCCGCGGAGATTATAGTATTTGATACCATAAAACTAAAACTGTGGAAGCTCAAAGGAGTAAAATATAGCGAACATGTGTTCTACTCATCTAAACTACCGTGACTCAGGCATGAACTACGACATGCTTCAAAAATGTGGGTTTCACATTGAAACTTTTCAACAGCGGTGAACATGTCATGTAATTCAGTGTTTGAACTTGCATAGCTAAAGCAGTTTTAGAATCTTTGCAAATCGGTAATAACCTTCACGCAAAACACAGCTACAGACGGCTTTTTCGGAGAAGTTCAGAGGATTATTTTAGGATTTGAAAAAAAAAGCAGACAATCAAGCAAAAGCAAGAATAAGAGAAGATATAGTCCTAAAAACGCTTCGAATCGCTTACCCTGCTGCCGCTACAGCGCTCCGCAATAAAGTCGAACCAGCGATAATGTGGAGCTGAGAAGGAGAGATTCCAGCAGAAGAAGGATACTCAGAACTAGCCGACACTAGAATGAGGATCTCAAGCTAGGAATGTGGGAAATGCAACGTTGATGACTGACATGATTTGTACAGCTTTGCGCCATTGCTGTTTTGAAGTTGAACATGAGAAGCAGCAGCAATTTGTCCGTGAAGCTATATTATGAATGATCAAATAACTCATAGATGGAAATGATCGTAAAAATAATACTAACACTCTCTTCGGAAGGAGTTATCGTTGAGGTGCCCGGCATATGAACAGCATGTATCGCATTTGCTGTCTGGTACGTAGGCCGCGGAGCAGGCTGAAAAAGGATGCCTGGATGTACTATAACAACGAAAAAAAAAACGAAAATAATCTTTACAAATCCGAAAGCAAGTCTCATGCGCATCAGAGTTGAACTCACAACTGGATCAACGTCTTCATCGATTTGTGCACATTTTTTTGTTTTCATAGATGTTGATTCTTTTTTTAAGGAAAAGCTTATCAGCTTCAGTTGTAAACCCTCCATACGCAGATAAAATACTGCCTCAGAAGTAGCAGGACCTGATATTACAAATCCATACCATCTCAATTTTCTGCTTTGCAAATTCTAGCAATTACGCATCACCCTCTACCACCTACTTCCAAGTGAAATATAACAACAGGAAACAGATATTAAATGTATATAGAAACACAAAGCAGTTACAGATGAAACTGAAAATGATTGCGAATATGAATGGAGCTGAGGATATTGATGATACTCATGCTGAATGTAAAACATAAGACCATGAAAGAAATTTAAGAAACAAAGCAAGCCCCTACGTGAAAAGCCATGCAAAATAAAGAGCCAAAAATGGTTAATGTAGCTAGACTGTACTGAAGGAGATGGAATTATTGAAAGACGAAAAAAATGGAGGGGAAGCCATTACCTTTTGTATATATTTTACTGTTGGAGAACTCGCATTGTAGTTCGCACGAAAAGCTGTTGAATTGGCACTTTGTGGTGTGGGAAACCTTCGCACCATACTTTCCTTATTCTAAAAGTTAATCATCGTATTATGCAAACAGCCCACAAAAAAAAACAGCTTACCCTGTCTGTATCCTCAACACCGAGAGTCTCATTACAAGTGAGATCTGAAAATTGACAAATGTCGACTTCTCAAACTATTCCTCTTTGAAGAAAACTATGACAGAATCTCAAAATATCCCTTTTTAAAGAAAGACAAAATTTTATAGCGGTTTAAATTCTCAAAATACAGTTTCTTCCATCTACGCCACAAAATATAACTGGAGCAGTATACAACTAGGACTGCGCGAAGATAAATCAACTAAGAAAACTTCCAAACTGAAATCCCAAGCATCAATTCTTACTGTGAAGGTACCGCGAAATGCATGGTTGTTTGCAAGAATGCATACATATGGGATGGAGAAGGGAGTAAAATTAGCAATGATTTTGCATAAAAGTAAATTAAGAGAACCAAAATAACCGCACCACAGAGAAGAGGTAATCACCCTGACCAATCATTTTGGTTACTTTGCATAAATCAAAAAGCAAGAAAAAAGTCATAAATCATAACAATACAAAGCATGAAAATTACTGTGGGATATATACCTCAACACATTAAGTGTGGTATCACTGTGGGTGCCTTCATACCCATACTAACCAAAATTTTTATGAATTTCACAGCTCGTTTTTTTTTTCAAATTACTTTTCCGAGAATCTTGAAAATTGTCTCGCACAGATCATGGCCAAAGTCAAATTGTACAGTTTGGTGGTTTGAAATACCAGCAGCAGAGCAAAAGCTTTTTATATACAAGATGTTAAAAGATGAGCAAAACCACTCGAAAACCTAAAATACAAGTATGCTAAGCAATACATATTATGAAGGGAACACCTGTTATAAGAACCTAATTGACTTTGGTTGCAAGCAAAGAAACGTATTTCACTTCCCGCCACCTTTCACCAAAAAATGTGATACCTTAAACAAAACCGTTGGGTTACCTATCCCTATGCCATTCCAAAACATAAAAATAGTTACCATCGAGGGAAATTATACATATGATGTTCTTTTTTTTTATAAACACATCTACTTTTCAGCTAAAACTTCGAAGACTTTAGGTAAAACGCCAATCTGATGACGTCATAATCAAAGGATAGGAACTGAGTGGACAAAATAGGTAAGTTCGGTAAAAAGTTCACAATTACACAAACAGATCTTGACTCACCGCGAGACATCTTAAAATTGTTTTGAAATGATGAAACAGTCACATGCGATGATATTAACCCTGTAATTACAATAAGAAAGATAAACTGATAAAATGGTAATTGGTTCAATACTTGGAAAATCGAATACTCAGTACTAAGGAAGGAATATAAAGAAGTCGTACGATGTGGATCGTTCTCGCAAAGAAGTGAGTTGTATCACAAAAAGTTAGAAATGAACAGCAGATGCGCGGAAGAAAGAATCTGAGAAACGGATTGAAATTGCGTGAGAATCAAACATGATGATAAAGGAATTGTTTACAAAAAAGAAAGATCGCAGCTGAGGCATAAAACAAAGCCCACGAAGCAAAGTAGCGATAGATCCGGAATGAACACATCTGAGTTCAAAAGAAGCTATCGAACAGCTGAAAGAGGATACATGCTAGGCAGGAGTGCAGATAGACAGATGATAGAAGGTATGAGTGACCTTTCTGTTTTGTCTAGAAGTCAGCTAGAAATTTATGAGAGAATCTAGAGATTTTGTTCATAATGTGGACTCCGAGGCGCACCGGTACTTTTTCGAATTGGGCGACGCGGGCGGTTGCGAAGCGTTTCTAGTAAACACAGTGTTGGAGAGAGGGACCGCCCAAGGAGCGGCTGACACCTGCTATGCTGTCCGTCCGTCTCGCTCGGATGTTGCGCGTCCTAAAACTTCTGTGCCGGACACTTTCAGGCTGTCAAAGATGCACTTCTACATGGCTGTGTCGTTAAGGCAAGAATCGGGATCGTCGTTACTTGGTTCTTTTCTAGGAAAACACGAAAAATTCTCAGTTACTCTGCTTCAAGTAGCTGTTCTCCAGCTTCATTCTCCCCGTGCGTCAGCTCACCTAGCAAATTCACGCTTTCAAGTACTTCTATGCGCTATGACGCCGCAGTCCGCGTGGTCCGCGGTCAGACGAGGAGACGTCGTATCGGTTAGAGAACGAGAGATGGATGGCGGTGTCACGAGACCGCCACACAGACGATCCAGCCCTCCACAGCCACCCCAAACGTCCCGTCTTTATGCGCTCAAAAGGGCAAAGAAAATTGCATGCCTAGGTGCTGTCTTGAGTTCGAACTCGCCCGAAGTCATTTACTCGAGAAATTGAATTATTTGTGATCGTTTTGTGGCATAAGAAGGTCTCGTTTCATTGTGATTAGCCAGCTTACATAACTTGTTGCTTTAGTTTTCTTACTCTCAAAGAAAAGATCTTCATTTTCTTGGAAAATTTTCATACAATTTCAGTATGGAGTTGAGCTTTTCGTTATATACATGTCACATTCGAAAAATCTAAAAATCCTCGAATTTTCAATTTCCGACTTAATTTTTGGCGAATTTCCAGTTTGCCATTTGAAGCGCTCAAACGTCGGGACCACCTTCATATGTGCACACTGAATGCTCCCGGAAATCCTCAAAGGGTGTGAAAAGGAGATAAACCAGAGTGAGAGTTTCAAAAGGTAAAGAAAAAAGTGGCAACCGAAGCACTTTCAGAGAATCCTAGTCCAAATCGAGACCGTCGGAATTTCTAGAGTCCGATGACGAGGAGAGTGTACAGCAGTTTCGTACCTCGAGATTTTGTTGGAGGCGGGGGGGGGGGGGGTGGAAGCGGCAAAGTTTCTCCATTAAAGGTCGTGGCGTCAGTTACGCACTCCGAAAATTTTTGGGATGCAACATAAAAAAGTTTTTTTACGGGGTTAGTTTGACTTCATAGAAGTTTTTAGGATTTTATTTCACAAGTTCAAACAAGTCACTTGCACATTTTCATACACTGGTGTACAATTTTTTTTTCAGTTTTGACTCCATTTTTTGCTGTAATTAGCACACTACTTTTCGCACAGTTATACAGAACTATTTACACTCTTTCAGTTGTTGGTTGTGAAACGGCTATTAAAAAGCGACTGTGAGATTGTACCCAAAGCTTTTTTGACGCTGATGGACGCCAAGACAGAATAAGCTCGAAGAAAGGGAACTTACATAGCCTCCGAATTTGCTGTTTTATTTACTTTCAAAATAAAACCCCCCTGAATTAGCGATACATGTGTTAGCAATGTGAGCGTGTCAGGATCCTTTGTGCATTTCCTCACTGTCCTCGGTCTCTACTTGGCAAAATGGTCCATCACCAGCGATGCGGATGCGTCACTCCAATGAGATATTCCGCCTGATCGGGTGAAACAGACTATATGTCTCGAAATAATATCGCTCCCCTTTCGTCTTAGTCAATGAGCAACCTGGATAGTTAGTTTCTATGAACAGTCAACAGTTTAGTAGTAAATTTTATTACAAAATTTTTTCAAAGTTCTGGTGAACATGGAATGTGGCTTCCAACGTAAGCAATACAACGTTTCCTTAACTAGAAAAAAATGACTCAGCAAAAATGAGCAACCAATGATCACTAGACAAAGTGAAAGCGCGCCAAACGACGAAAGACTCAATGTATCACCGGTAATTTGTACAATAATAAATAGAGAAATAGAGCAACAACAGTATCACAGTGTCAGCATAATCCACACGAAGCCGGACAGTTCTTCTTCATGTAATTCATGAAAATTCCCTCACAAAATCCAGCCGTTTTCCAGTGCGCACAGAAGTGTTTGCGATCTCTGCACGCGGTCGGAGTCGGTGGAGCCAGTGTCGGGAACAATGTGCTGGTGGTCAAAACAGGTGCGCTGAAAAATTGGAACGGTTCATTTCTAAATCAGTCCGTACGGATAGGAAGAAATGTAGGGGGACAGTGAAGAGGGTAATTTAACGTGTATAGCATTGTCATAGTTTCTGAAGTTTGACTGGAGCCGACAGAGGGCCACCGGAAGCTGCGCTAGCATATAGTTATAGCTTAAAAACTGCAGAAATACAAAATACAAAAAACATTAGAACTGAACTCTTGTTTGTGTTTTTTTTACTAAAAACTAAAATTTTTCCTTATCAGACCTTCTCGTCCAATATTTTTGATAAATTTATCATTACTATTATTTTACTAATTTAAACCCTCCGTCCTCGTTGAGTTCAGGGAAGTGCTCATCAATATTTCACACGAATATCTCATTTTATATTTTGTTTCATTAATTCGAAATTTCAACAAGCCGTCCTTATCTCTTTGATTAACTTTTCCAACAGTATTTTCTTCTCAACTTATTAGGTTTTTATCGAAAGTGAATGAAGATTTATAGAGGCCATTTTGGTCAATAAAAGCTAACCTACCCAAATATGTGCAATGAATGAGTAATCAGAATTTATTCTCAGATGCCGGAACTAATTTATTTTTCTTAGGATATAACTGTGAAAATTTAGCTTATCCGCTTTGAATGCCATACACAATAGGACGGGAAATAATCATACAAAAGTTCAAAAGCAGCGAATAATTTCGAGATATGAGGACACTGCTGGATTATTATCAATGGTAATTTTTTTAATGCTTTTTATTTTGAAAAATTTCAAAAGGATTTTATGCCACTTTTTTAGCTTTAGCCTAATCTCTTATCAGAGTTCTTTCCACCTTCATGTTTTCTCAAATTTTTCGCATGAAAACAATTTCCTGTGAGTATTTCAAGACATTTCGCCCGCAGTGTTCTTGCTATCGGTGAGTCACCAAATACTGATGACGAACGGATAACGTTAAAAAAAACATAAATACCTCGTGGATGTCCTCCACATCGTGATCAGCGGCTGATTAGTATTAAGAGTAGGTGATTGTGTGCTTATCTCAAGCGGAGGAGGTTTGAAGCAGTAACCGCAACTTTTTGCACAATACGTCTTCATGAAATTTTGCGACAACTTGCAATACCTAGAATAAAACAATAGCCTACAATAGCTAAAATTCTCTAATAAATCACTGTAATACCTCTGCGATACCAGAGTTAAACAGTCAACTCGGAGATCTTCACAATCGCTCGGAGGTAGTGGTGTAGTTGGCGGTGGAGTAAACGTCGTTTCCGTAGCTGAGATAGCATAATTATCATACTTTTCGAGAAATTAATAAATAAGCCTACTCACTAGGCTTATTTTCGCAGAATCCACATGGTATAGGGCAGTATATCTTCATCCAAGCTGGATTACGCTCGCACCAACCTCAAAATAAAGTTATGGCTTTCATTGTACAAGCCAAAGTGGCTAAATCGCAGATATACGCATTTGCATAGAAATAATATAGTAGCATTTATTTTTTAGAAAAAGTAGCAATATACAGATATATGGCATACCCAGAATTTCCGTTCGGGGGGGGGGGGGGGGACAAAAATTTTTTTCTTGGTGAAGGTTCCCAGAAAAGATTTTTGGTATGCTTCTCAAAATTTTCGCGGGCCCATGACTCCACCTCCGAAAAAAATTTTTAGTAGGCTAAAATGAATTTTAAAAAAATTTTTAAAAATTTTTTAAATTACTTACGAGTATAAATAAGTCAATTGCACATTTTTATTGCCCATGTAAGTAACTTTCAAAAATTTCGTGACCCATTTTCGGGAGACTTTTTTGCTTCATAAAACCAATGCTAATGTGGTGTAATCGCACAAGTTTCAGCTGGGAAGAATTACTATTCGTCTCGTCCCAATTGTTGCTTTGTGCAGTTTCACTAATTCTGCAATTTGAAGTTGTCCGTTGGCCGTAGGGTCGTATCAATGTGGAGAAAACAATACAAAACTATGAAAAATTAACACGAAGATATTGGCGGATTGTTCGCATTCAATTCTCAAATGCAGTCAAATCCGAAAAGTGGTGCAACTATACTGACTGCTGAAGTGAGGATTACGGTACTACCTTGCAACAAAGGGTGGCAAAGAAGCTTATACTAAAAACTGTTCCCTGACGAAAGGCGATTCGTTCATCTTGCGAAGCGAGAGAGAACGCTTCGTTGGGCATCTTATGTGAGGTGGCACACCCCGCGCACGCTTCGCTAACACGAGCAGCCGCTTTCGTTCGGAACAAGACTATCTATGCGCGCTGCCATACCTTGCCTTCCAAGTTCATCGCAATCTCCCCTCATATTCTTGCATTCGGGAACGATGACCGGGAGAGTGACCGGAGATGGTTGCAGGGTCCGTATCGTTGACGGGACCATCGGAGTTGTGGTCGTCTCCGGAGCTGCAGTACTCGTAGTCGTACTTTCGGGTTCTGCAGTACTTTCAGGCTTCTCACCATCTGAACTAGCCTGCGGTAAAACATTAAAGCCACTCATTCTGAACCACCGACCAGGGCAACCATATAGCTTGTTGATTTTATAAATATCTGTTTTCGAAAAACCTCCTCGTTGACCGATCTGTGCACCTTTTTGCTTCGGGACCATCGTTGGTTGACCGTTGCGTGAGAAAGCCTAAGTGAATGTTCAATTAACAAAAAGGTTGCTTCCATTGTGGACCATTTTTTACCTTTCCACCGTAGTGCATGATGGAGGAGTAGTCGTAAGTCGTTCCAAGTGATTGAATGGTACCTTGTCCATATTTTTCGAATTGACCTGAACTATTGAACTCTGGGACTAGTAATGAATACCTTCAAAATTATCGTTTGATGGTTAATGTTGGAAGCTATAACTCAAAATTAACAAAATAAATAAACCCATTTAGCTTATTTCAGTCAGATTCGCGCAGAGATTTAGAAACAAAAAATGGTAACAAAATCAGAGATCAAAGTAAGCTTGAGTTAGAAAGTAGTGCAGAAAATCTAATATCAATTTTTGTGCTGCTACCACTGCTGATAATTTTTATGTTTGTTTCCGAATTGTTTCCGAAAAAAATGGACTTCTATTATCTTTTCTCCTCTGATAAGGGTAGTCATAGGGCATCATCAAGTTAGAAGCCTAGGTTGAGTCAGTTTTTCTTAGAAAAGCTAGCCATCATTCTTCAACAGTATCTCATCCTCACTGAAGGGTATAATTGAGCAAATTACCTTGCATTCCAGGTTGAATATTATTCCAAAGAATAGTTATATAGTCATCTCTGTCTGTCCGACTTTGTTCGTGAAAAAATCCTACAGCATGCATCAGTTCGTGGATGATGATACCTTTCTGAATGCATCCGGAACCAAGTGATAGTGACTGTTTTCCTCCTGGAAGCAGTAAGAAAAAATTTCAATATCTATAACTGTATTTGCAAGGTTTTCTGGTTCAAAAGGAGTAGGAAGAAGGAATAAAACTCATAAAACTCTACTCTTGAGTGAACATAATTATTAGGTTGAAGGAAAGTTCGTTCGCATTATTTTCAGAAAATCGTGACTTCTTTCTCTTACGATATTCTTGCACGATTATATCATTATTAGGAACATCAAAGCGTATACTTTCTAACGGCACGTTCCTTTCTCTTTACTAAGCTTTGATTGCAGAGATAAAATTGGGAAAAGGAAATTTCTTCAATTTGAGAATTTTGCGGCAAGCCCGTTAAAAATTTCACAACTGTGCCATAGAACCCAAAAAGCAGTTTCCTAGATTATTTAACCCCCTTTTTCTAGGTGAGCAAAATCCGCGCTGATTGAGCTCTCTCTAAAAAGTTATGATTTTCGAGAAAAATGCCAAAAAATCAGTTCCTTAACACGTTGACGACCGTGTGTATCCGCGCGTATGCACGCCCTGACCACCTTGTAGCACTTTCGTGCATCAATTTATCATGTGTAAACGAAAATTTCTCAGGTAACTTCTATGCAGTAATAACACTGGTGGCCTGGTTGTCATATAGAACACACGGCATTGCGGTAGCTGTTAAACCGTCCAAACCGCAGCCGTAGATCATCAGTCCATTTTGAGGTGGTCAAAAATGGCTCGGTCGTCAACGTGTTAAGAAAGTGATTTTTGAACATTCCAAAATTCATATCTTTTCAAAGTACAGCTCGATCAGCGCGAATTTTGCTCACAAGGGAATGGTCAGAAATCGAAATGGCCAACCCGGACAAGCTGCATACATTAGATGCAGCATGAAGCACTGACTCTAAATCTGTCTTCCTTACCTGCTTATCGCTTTTCTGGATGAAGCTATAAGCCATTAAAGACCACTATTTTGCTAACAAATTATGCATGAGATCGAAAATTTAGTCACACAGAGCCACATTCGCCTCAAAGCTGGGCCAAAACATGCAGTTAGCTCACTTAAAACTTTTAAAAGCAGAAGCTGAGCTAAAAGTGCAACAATGTGCTCAATTTCGCTCTTTTTATGTACTATTTTTTCCCAATAAAACCGCTTGTAGCTTCGTCCCTAGAAGCGGGAAGCAGATAAGGAAGACAGATTCGAAGTCAGCGTTTTATACTGCATCGAATGATATACAGCTTGTTTGGTTTGGCCACTTCGACTTCTGACCATTCCCTTGTCAGCTAGAAAGAGAGCGTCAAATGATCTAAGATACTGCTTGTTTTGGATTTTTCATTGGGCTTGCCTCAAAATTCCGAAATTGAAGTGATTTCCTTTTTCCAATTTTATCTCTGCAATCAAAGTGTATTAAAAGTAAGCAAGGTGTCCTCACAAGGTATGTGCTTTGCACTTTCTAATATTATTTTTGTCGTGCAAGTTTATAGTAAGAGAAAGAAGCTACGATTTTTTGAAAGTGGTGCGAACGAACTTTCGGTTCAATCTAATATAAGAAGAAACCAAGCGCAGATTGTTGTTCCAAATCCTGTGTGTAATGCCGAATAGAACAATTCTGTTGATTTTTCACAGAAAAAATGTTTACATTTTATTACTAATCGTTCCCCTCAGTTAGTGGACGTCCGCTCAACAGCACTTGACGTAAAAAGCGTCACTTCAGTTTGAATACAGCACACAACAAGTACCGCTGGTCAAAATAGACAAAAGTAAACTTACCGATTTTTCCGACCATTGAGTAGCATCCTCTATCAGGAAATATGTAAACATAATTAACATCGTTGTTAGTTTTTGGAACCCATTGTATACAGGTATGGGTTGAGTACTCTTGCATTGAAGCAGCTATCAAAGAACGACTAAATAAATCTGCTTATTTTCGGAATAAAATGCAATTCAACGACTTAGTAAACTCACGTACCTGTAACTGCTATATTGACTACTAATTGTATAAGGTATTCGACCATTTGGCCAGAGTTGATGTCGATTTCTAATGGCATTGTACCAATTTCCAGTGCCTGGTCGCGCTCCACCGTTCAAAAATAACTCTACAGTTGATGCGTTCAGCTGAAAATTAGGGAGTATTTTGGAAGTGCATTTTTATTTCCACAATTATCCTATTTATCAAAAATTAGTGCTTCGAAATTTGTAAATATGTCCTCGCACATTTTCATCTTTGATGGAGTCATCTGTGTTTTTGTTCATTCGCAGAATACGAAAATTGTTAAACTGCTGGATTTTGACTAAATTGATGGAGGAAAGGAGGAAAGAGATAGAGTATAGGCAATCGATATTTTCCACCTATACTGAGCGAAATGGTTTGTTTTTGGGTAATCCTTAAAATTTCTTAAAAGAAAAACACACACAACAAAGGTAACCTTTTCCTCAAAAATGAGCTTTTACCCTCCTCATTGTCAAGAAAAAAGCTATCTGAGCGTACTTGAAGTGGAAAAAAAAGTCTGTAGAGTATTTCTAACAAATGGTTCTCTTAATAACAAACTTACATTTTCGTTCGCAATATCTCCTTCAAATCTGGTTGTTCCATACATTGCATCGGAATCTACATCACGTATTTGTAAATTGTCTACTATTTCGGCTCCAAGCTCGAAATCGCCAGGAGTGAGTACAGTTTCATATTCAGGAATACTTCGATCGAATTGCTGAATAGAAAATGGAAAAACGCTCATGTTATAAAAAATAGAAAAATTTTTCCTTCCCACCAGGCTCTCGTAATCGTTCATTTCGAATTTTGATGGAACAGAAGCGTAGAGAACCACAATATAGGCAAATATTCCCAAGCATTTCAGCATTCTGCAAACTTACAGCAATATTATAATGAATTCAAGATATGTGTGTATTCCGATAATCAGATAATCCGTTTCTCTGTCTCTCCGTAGAAAAATGCTCTGACAATGGACAAGACCGGACTGAGACCGGCGAGTACACAAATAGCAACCGGGGCGAGCCCCTGAGGACGAGATCATGTCCACTGTGAGGGAAGAGGGAGAGAGTGACCTTGACTCATTAATGCAAACAAAAACGCTTTTATCTTGTGAAGCATGACGTAGAACGTGTAGTTTTGCTCAAGTAGGGCTGTTGAACTGTTCCTCAAAAGAACTGCTCTTCGCGCCGGAAAGGTACTTCAAAAGTTCGTGTAATTCTGATTTCATTTTTCAGGAGCAGATGACCACTTTTGAGCGCTAGAGGCTTATATGAATAGCTCAGAAATGCCATTTCTTACTGTTCGTTCAAAGAGAAAGTATGACTACACTGAGAAGTGAAGATAAATTTAAAGAGATACATATATTCAACAGGAGAGACAATTGCCCGGAAGGTATTAAGAAAAAGGAAAGGACATTGAAATGAGCTGCCATGTACAAATGCGATATTATAGCTTTTTTAGTGAATCAGTATACTTGCAATAAATTTACTACCATGAAGGATATCGCATTACAAATCGAGTAAAATCCGTCAAAACGGCTGCGCCGATGTCCAAAACCACTTCAAAAACCACACACAGCCAGACGGTCGACAGTTCCAATGTCCAAAGATGACGAACTATTGGTTCGTGCTTTGCTAGGAAATATTTACTCTGGCGCGAGAGAGCTACGACTATGCTTTTTTATGAAAAGGAGTATCATGTTCGCACTCGTGGGACTGAACGAGGGTCCCGAGGGTCCTCCAGTGGGCTCACGATTGACCAGTCCGACCACACTCAACTTTTGGAAGATACAAAGTAGAGTAAAAGCATTGGAATATAACTGAAGACCATTTGACAATGCAACCAAGGCGAAGTGCTTGTCAGGACCAAAAATGGACTAATTGGGGCCAAAAGGGGAACCTCCGAAGAGCACCAAATGAGAGGACAGCTTATAAGGCGGAGATTAGCAGCCTCTCGCTGGGCGTAGCACTCCTGCTGGTCAGCTATCCTTCGGCGCGAAAACAAACAACAAAAAAAACCCTGTTGCTGATAAATTCTCATTAAGATTTCGCCCAAATAGATCGTTTCCATACGTAGATCCTTTGTATACATTCTGCTGCAGAACTTTACGGTCCAAGGATCGCTTTTTAATGGAGTTTTTTCACCTGTTCTGTTTTCAGCTTTTGCAAAAGCACTCGACAATTCGCTAATTAAGTGTGAAGGCTTTCTGAAATCACTCATGCATTTACGGACTCAACAATTGGTTGATTCCTCCTCACTATACTTACGAAAATCCTAGCCGTAGGTTTTCCTTTTTCGCAATATGCCTAATTATAATTGTCTTCACTTTTAGACTCGTCAGAACGCGAACAGGACGTGCTAAATGCAGAATGTCCCAAAAAAATGTGAAAACGGTTTGGTTATCTGTGAATCCCTTGTCTCAAAAGCTTATCCGACACTTCGGATACCGTAATATAGATCTTGCATCAACTCAATTTATTATCACTGTTTCAACTGTGAAAAGTTTAAGAAGAGGTTTGTATCAATAAACAACGCTTGTTTTAAAAAGACTCAGTCTAGAAAACGTATTACTAAAAAAAAAAAAACGGAGTCACTAATTTCAGACATATTGCATCTAACAGTAATTCTCAATCCAAACATTTCGCCAGCTACGCAGTTACAATAGTTATCCCGATAATTATAAAAAAAGCTAATGCTAGTTAAGTTGTTTGTATGAGTTACAAAGTTTTCTGATGAAGTTAGCAATTTCGAAAAACTATAGCAAAAGCTTTCAGATATTTTATTCTTTTTGTACTGCATATTCACTTCAAAAAGAATCAAATTGCTGTCTGATGTTCGAGGGAAGATTAAGGCAAGAGAATTATTGGAGGTCGTAGTGTGCACAATTTTCAGGCGCTGTACTAACTGCTAGTTTCTTATACAAACAATAACGTGTACATGTAAACCTGCATTCAATATATTTATTGATACTTCGATATGCTCAAGTGAAATCTTGTAGTGATATTGCTACGCATTGCTTGCTTTGCTTAAAACATAAAATTTTTGATAGTAGGACAAACGAAGAAAAACAGCAAAAATGGTTAAAATGTCTTCCTCGGTTTCTTGATGAATTCTTCATAGGCTTCGAGACCATCACCCGGAAGTGGATTTAGCACCACAGCGTGTTCTAACAAACTTTCGAATGGCACCTGAAAATGTTTTTTGAACAATTTTTCGTTGTTAGACACTTTGGAAACCCTAGTCACCTTCATCTGGCTTGGTTCATAAGTCTTCTTCAAATGTTCAAGGAAAAAACCTTTAAGAAACCTTTGAAAAACATTTCATTTTTGTGACGGATAACTTCTTATTTCACTGCGCATTACATGATTTTGGTTTTTGGTTCACCTACTATTACAAAGTGTGTAATTTTTTATTCCTGCGCTACCCTGAATCGAACAAACGTTGACTACGGGAAATTCAGATTTTTCAAAATTCTGGTGCAGTACCTATGGCACACCAGACTTATAGGCATTAGCCGCTTCATGATTGTTCAAAAGTGTGATCTGACCAATCATGAAGCGGCTAACCGGATAAGTCTGGCGCCGATCTATGGACCAACAGAATTGTGCAGTTGCACACACTGTACAAATAACGCATCCCAGGTGGATCTGCTTGACAGAAAAGCGCGTTTCTTTTTTTCCTTTCGCATGTACCGAGACAAACACTTTGTTGAGATTGTAAAATGAATGCCAAGCGGCCATTTGCAGAATGAGAGGCGCAGCCTGTGCAGTGTGTGCAAACGCACATATTACGGATATGGAAATAACTGGGCTATAAACATCGTAAGCGCGTACCTTTGAGAAGAACATTTTCGCTTCTGGATCCTTTCTGAAGATGCATCCTCTTGGTAAAGCTTTCTGTAAATCATATAATTTTCACATTACTTTCACATAATTTTTCCCATTAACACTCCCGAACTTCACGCAAGTGTTTATTCATTCGCAATCTTAGGTGGCCATCCCATGTGTCTACCTCCTAATCGCATCAAGCTCTCTCTCGCAATCGAGGGCTACTCAAGTGTTCTATTTTGCGCATTGTTGATGTCAGTCTCAGGTGTGCGATTAGTTGTTAGCCGACCGTGGTTGCTGATTTGTTTGCCCCGAGAAGCTGAGCCTCGCACGCACGCACCTATCAAAAACGGGTGTTCAAAGAAAACAAGCCACTCTCTCTGTCTCTCGTCCCAAAACGATTATCTTCTGGATTGAGAGAACCTTCGGAGTTTTTATCGCAAGTTCGAACAATCACTGTGTGCGGATGACTATGCTCAGATAATCTGAATAGAGGAAACAGAATGGTGAAAACGTGGTCTACTAAGAAAGGAGATTATTTGTTCGGAAGCTCTAATCTACTTCGTTTTCATCATTTCCAAAGCTCAACCTTCAGATTAGCCAACAACAGAGCCCGCTTTTCTTTTTACTACTACATATCGCTTGTATATTTCATCTGCCACAGACCCTGTTTAGGGATTGAACTGATTTATATTTGGCAGAATTCTTTCATGTAAACAGGAATTCCCGTTTTGCTGATGTGTTTTAATAATTTCTTGCGTGTGATGAAGATATACCTATGAAAAGTTGAGCAATAATCTTTTTTCTGGAAAAATTGCGCCTGCTTGATCTTTAATCTAAGACAAGCGCAATACTGCTCAAGTAATATCTTTAACTGACATAAAAAAAACTAGAGCTCGCATTTAGCAGAATATGAATACAAATATTTAGACGACAAACAAGTATTCAGCAAAGGATCGAAAACAGGCTCTTTTTCACATGATATTTCGAATTCTGGACTTTTTATTTGTAAAAGTGAACATGTTCAGTTTTAGCATGGCCATTTATGCTTCGGTTGAACAGGATGGGGGCATGATTTGAAAGACTGATTTTGAAAAGAGTTATAGCACAGAAAATAGTGAAAATAGCTCAAGTTGAAGCTAAAACAAGGATGTTTTCACTATCCTCTATTCAAGCGGCTTTTTATTTTTTATTAAGTGGATCTCTGAGGTGGTTTCGGTTACACGTCGATTCCGAACAACACTCTTTCACGAGTAATCGCAATTTTTGTGCACTTGCACACAATTTCACTTCGCAAAGCTCCTCCATATATACCAAACTATGTACAAGAAACGAGTACTGACTTCCTTGCAGACAGCCGCAGCATGATTAGCGTCAGCAAATGTTTCTTCAAATATCCACTGGTCCTGCAGTTTCTCGTCCAATAAAACGGTGGTTGATGTGACAAAACAACCTTGAAAATACTCTCTTTGATTTATATCAGTAGGGTAACTTGAACTGACCAGGCCTATAACGGTCGCTCATATTCACTTGAAAGTTAACGCGACTAAGATCGTCAAGGATGCCATCTCCAGTAGCTTTGAGGTAGGCTTCTTTCAAACACTAAACAAATGCAGATATGATTGGAAAATAAATTAGTGATGTTTTTACCCAGTAGCGATAGAACATAGTCATTTTCATGGCCTCTGTAGGTTGACCTCTCATCGTCCTCAGCTCATCTGGTGATGCTGACTTCGCCATGGAATTGATGTACTCATCAGCTGTTTTTCCGGCTCCTATAGTGAAATTACAGGGTGCGTTCAGAGTTGTCCGTGCCAGCGCGGTGTCATCGCCGTGCTAGCACCGTGCTAAAAAGTCGATCGATTGATACGAGGCGCGCGCATATGAACCTCGGCAGTACGCTGGCACGACGCTGGCACGCCCTCTGACACAAGAGCAACTATGGATGTTGCTCTAACAATCGCCTTGAAAAATTCCAGACTCACTCTCTTTATCAAGTCGCATTAGGTCAACGCCGACTTTCGAAGTGCAGCTGCTGGCAAAGCCTACATAATCTCCCTGAACATAACCTCATTAGGAATTATTATAAGACTATTACGATCCGCGCGACTTTGCACTCACCTGATGTGTAACATTCAATCCAAAAGTGGTATTAGCAGGGTTGACCAAATAAGGTTTGCCCTTCGCCGTTCGTGCAAATTCTATTTCCGACCATGGCGTACCTGTGAACTAAGGAGAGTTTGGGTTGTTATGCCAGCTCACAGTAATAAACACAAAACAGGCAGCGTCCAGAATTGCTCGTGTTTTCGTGCTGTTGTCAGCATGACAGCGCGGTGCCGGAATCTGGTAGAATTTCCTGCATGGCGTTGGAACGGGGTTGGCACGGCGCTTGAACGGCGCTGGCACGAGCAACGCTGGACGCAGCCATAGCTGAATTAGGTACCAAATGTGTCGCATGTCTGAGTAGCAGCCGTCCAATTATGCACTGTAGCGCATCTTCGCTGAAAAAAGAATTTTAACACTTTTTATTATATTCCAGAAAAGGTGAAGAGCGTATCATAGCGCTATATTCAGCAAAAACTGGTGCTTCTTGAGATCTCAAGTGCTCCGATCCATCGCACACATCTCGACATGAAGTTTCGACTCACCGATGTTGTTTCTTTGCGACATCACCAAAGTCTTCTGGTGTTATGCTTTGTATTGCCTTTCGATAATGGTTTTCAAACTAAAAAGTAAAGATCTCAGAGGTAACCAGCTGTACACTGCACAACATACAAACCTGATCACTTTCGAAAGCTTTCTGAATGCTGACAACCCAACGATTACATCTACACCTGTAGAATACAGATTGATTTACTGGTTTTTTACAGTTTCAAAGCAGAAGATTGATTTCTACCAGGGTGTAATTAATGATGCTCAGCTAATACTGATGATACATAACCTTGGCATGATGTACGAATACTGTTTTAATTTCATAGGAAGGTGATACATCGCCGGAACGAAACAATTTTCCTATACCGCTTCGGTTAAGCTTAAATAAAATTAAGACATGATGGCACATAATTTGTTGCGTTTTGCGCTAAAAGTGATGCATTCGTTTTATGTAACATACTTTCCGAAATAATAAAAAGATATTTTAAACGAGTTTCTCTCAACAAAAAGTTAATTTTCAACCGAAACTACGTGAGAAAAATGGAGCGAACTCCACTTCCATGTGAATATCTTAGAAGTGGGCCACTTGCTCATCTTTATGAAAAAAAGCTAAAATCCAAACATATTCTACGTGTATAAATTCAGAAAGTTCAACTCAATAGTTTGATACATAACTTGCACCAACAAATAAGAGAAATCTAATCTAAAGTGTTCGAAATTTTCTAACTCAAAGTTTAAACTTTTCATAACATATGGTGAATGTTGTACAATACTGCTCACAGAATGTGCAAAATTTCCGTGAATGTCTCGAACTTCCGCGGAATTCCCGGAATTCCGCCACATTCACGGAAATTTTGAACATTCTGTGAGCGTTATTGTATCTATCATGAAAAATTGGATTTTATTTGGAACGAAAGCAAAAGCCGAAAACCGAAAAATTCGAAAATAGGAATATTCGTTGACACAAGCGATCAACAGAATAATTCTCAGTGAAAGAGCGGATCACTAAAATCCAAAGCTTAGTCCAACGTTCTGCTAACTTTAGCTGGCAAAATATGAAAGATTAGTTCAACAGACTTTTTAGCATTTCTCTTGATCATCTAGTATTGTTGAAATATGACAACAATGATTTTTAGATAAGGCGTTTCTGAAAAGATTCTCCCTTTCTAATTATGTATTTCAAACAATCTTATAAATATCCACGTAAGACTTGTGCGTCAACCGAATACAATCAGGCACGTGCTATAGAGACCAGCCCAACAGTTGGAAGTTTTATGCCAGAAGAAGATGAGATACAGTTTCTGTCTGCGATATCTTGATTGTCAAGAAAATACCATTTTGCTTAGTTATGACTGAATAAATAGAGCAAAAAACAATTCATAAAAAAATCACAGCGCAGCGTTGAAACTACGCCATAGACTGCCCAGGTGATGACCGGCAGAAAGTCAATATATAACATGCTGATCTCGTCCGCATAAGGTCAACTTTCTCTTCAACAACTTTGCAGAAGCGACCTGGTACACACTTCCCTACGTTGTGGGTAGTATTCTTACTTAGAATTTGATTCTGGCACGAAAAAAAGAATCAGAAATGACTCACTCATTGGTCATGCTGGAAAGGTGAAGAGATGTGCGACGCGCTGCGTGTGCACGTCTGGTCTGAATGGCCTTGAACGTGTGTCGAACAAGATGAAAAGATTGCACCTCCGTCGTGAACACCTCCTTTCTGGCCTTTTCCAACTCATCGACGTAGATTTGCATATGTGGCATCTATTTGGCGAATTGTGAATGAAAAAATTTGTCTGCGATTGTTGCGCGTCTAACTGAAGTCGATGGAGAATTCTACTATACCTGGGGAAGGGCCCAGTGTTAAAAAGAGATTTTTTGATGTTTACTTCATGAAATAGATTGGCTCATGGAAAAACATGGATATAATTGTTTTCGGCAATATCAGCAGTCCGATAGCTGATGACTTTTCTTCATCCAAAGATTTTTGGAACTTTAAAGGCCGCGTCTCGGCAAAATTTCGCTGCTCACTCATACTCAGAGCCTTCTCGCCATGGGGAACTCATATCTGGGCTTTTCAGCGCATGAAAATGGCGGAAGTGAGCCTTTTCGAAGCTTTTCATGTGCGCATTCGGTGAAAATACGCCGGAAGCCCTTCGCACCCCGCCTTTCTCGCTTCGGACTCCGCCCACTTACATACACGTGTTTTCCACTGAATGTGGGAATAGAAATCTTCGGAAGCTCATTTTCGCCATTTCCATGCGCTAAGAGCCCAAAGATGGGTTCCTCATGGCGAGAAGGCTCTGAAAAGGTGAGAAAGTGGAAAACGAAATTTTGCGGGGACACTGCCTTTGACTTACCCTGTACTTTTTTGTTTCTTTTTTCCGTTGCTTGTTGCGCCTACATGGGGATTGTCTCTTCTCTACAATAGAAGAAATATGAAATATTTTTTGTATATCATAGTAATCAATCCAGGCCTACGTTTGGCGTAAAATTCAAATGAAACGTGCTAAAAAATAGTAAGTAGCAGCAACCAAAAATGCTGCAAAACAGTAAATCTGAGAGTCTATTGTAAACTATGATGTTTGCCGTATTTTTCAAAAACCTAATAAAGCTCTCATTTTAAGCTGTTAGGAATTTGCCTTGCGCTTTCCTTCAACCTTGAAATCAAACTTTATTGGGAAACGCATTCAAGCGACACACAAAAAACTGTCTATCCCACTGAAACGCTCAATATAACTATTTCCGAGAGTTTACTATCCAAAGAGATACTGCTTAGAAATATGGCTGTTGCACATCTTTTGAGACCCAATCCATTACACGAATTGAACCATAGCGATGGTTCCTTATAGCATCCGCGTTTTTGTTGTAGATGGCAATTCAGCGCATGACTAGTTGCCAGGGCTTCCCATTTGGAAGAAACTGATTGTGAACTACTACTGACCAACGACAACTCGTAATCTCGAGAGATACAGGTCTGAGTTCTTGGTCAGACTGTACTTTCCAAGCAGAGGAGCTTATTGGTCCGCTCAGAGAGAGCACTGTCTAGGTGCGCTTGAAAATAAATTCTTTAATACAACTAAATCATGTGCGCTGCCGCTTGGTTGAAGTGCTCAAGAAGAAACTCATTCTCCACAAAGCTTGATTGGGCTTCTCCACGTTAAATCCAAAGCCCGCAGAGCACGAAAATAGCAAAAACAGGCTTTTCCCGCGTCCTGGTGCGTGGAAGCAAATGAAGTGGATGATTCATACGCCTGAAACATTCACCTCACAAGCCGTCAAACCCCACCGCGTTACCGTACAATCTAGCGCACTGATATGTCGGCAATACAATTGTGCGCTCAATCATATGATAATGGAACAGTATTTGACAGTGAACGTTTACTTCTGGGTCGCAAATGATCGCTTGCGTTGCCCCCTGGGCAATGTTTTGTTCTTTGTTGGAAGGCCCCCATAAAAGCCCGTGTGTACCCGCATGCCTTAAAAGCAATGTCCAGACTTGCTTGCATATTGCTTTTGAGATATTGCACCGCCCACTCAGATAAGAAATGGTTCAGTGAGCATCAAAGAAGCAGATCTCGGCATCAAGATTCCTTACGTTTGGGCTTCCCAATCCGCTCAGTAAAAGATAGATTCCTCCAAGATAGATTTTTCCAACCAGCCAATCACTCACAAGGGGTAGCCAAACGCATCAAGCCCAGTGCACCTTCCACATGTCTAGAAAAGCAACTTTTGACTTCCTAAAAAGTCGTGAAGCACATCTTTTGATCACACACTTATAGTGCTCAAGAATGAGTGGAAATCAAAGGCAAAAACGCGCCTCACATATGTACGAACCGTCAAAGATAATGATGACCAATTTAAGTGAGTAATAGCCAACGATAGTGTATCTTAAGTCAAGAAATCAGATCAGTTGTTTTTTTTTGATAATGTTTCAGAGTAGGTTGTCAAAATTGTGAGTTTGAGTCATCTGTTCCTCCTTGGTCTTCTAGATGCGCTGAGTGTGCTCGAAATTCTCGACGTCAAATAATGCTTTTTATGGCGTTTCCGGCCTTGGGGACAGCTGAAGGGGCTGGAGGAGAGATTCCCGCCAAAAAGAGCGACTGGCCGCAGAAAACTGTATGGGCGGAGTCACTCCAACCATTTTGGCGGTAATTGGCTAGCTATCTCAGGCAGCTATTGCACGTTAAAGGAATTGCTCGTATAGCTCCTCCAGCAACCTCCAAGGCCTTACACGCATAAGAAGCACTTTTTTGATACTTTCGAGAGACATCAAGCAATGTACTGGACTCGGCGCATCCAGAAGGCCAAGCAGAGATGAAAAGTTCGCAGTCGCAGTTTTCCCGAGCCCCTGCCTTCAACACTCCTGTCATTACTCTTAAAGCAAAAAAAACGACTTTATCAGAACTCCCAAACTACACACACAAACAAAGAAAAAAAACAGCAAGGCATCCTGTACCCTAGCGTTTTACAAGTAGCAGTGATAAGGAATTTACAGTTCAAAACAAAACGATACTTTACTAAACAATGATGGGCAGGACTCTTGCGAACAATATATGTAACCCAATTATTTATCACAAGCATCAACGGTGAGAGCGACGAGGATTGCAAAACAAAACAAAAGTATTCAAAAAGCGAGTACTAAGACTCGATAAGTCATCAAATTCTGTTATTCCCTCTTTGCAGTAACTCCTGCAGAGTGGCAGCGAAGAGGGACACATGAGGTTATAATATATCATATATATTACTATAAATCAGATAGGCAACGCGGCTCGAAAATCACCAGCAAAATGACCGTAATTCGACGAAAAACTTTGGAAACACGTAGTGAGAAACACATTCAAGAAGTATATAGGAATGAATAACGATTTGAGAAATGGTAATGTAGCTGCGATGAGAACAAACTCAGTAAAACCTCTTCCTCTGACGTTCGCTCCTTTTTTGAAAGAAAACCACACCAAATCCGAGGACTCCGACTACGACAACTATACCAACGATAACCAACACTATAGTGCCAAACCATCCAAGTTTTGACGGTGGTGGGCTATCAACATGGTCACGAGGAGCAGCATAGAACTCCGCCCGAGGAACGACGTCTTTACGGTCACCCTGAAGGAATTAGATTGTTACGGGTGAATATTATTCTCACAAACGTGCGTAGATTAACATTTCGTTAGAATGAGCAATAATTAATATTGCAGGCGCGCTGGTCTTATTGAAATGATAGCTCGTGATTAAATTCATTTTATCTAAAAATTTCCACTCCAAACAATGGATATTTATCTGCCAGTACTGACGCACGCCATCACAACTGCTGATAATACGACAAACAGAAAAAAAGCGTATGGTAGCATATAAAGAAGAAAGTGAAGGAACTGACCTCTCCAACACGGTCGACATGAGCAAACTCTTGTTCGAACATTTTCACTCCGATGATGTCATGATTATCTGTAATTCACACTTTTTCAACCATACTTGGGTAACGTGCAAGTGATAAATTATATGGGACCCCTGTGAAGATGCTAACCTGAAAGATCACCAGTAGCAGCGCTTATGCCGAAATAGTAGCCGGTTGGCAGCTGGACGTTATTGACACTCAAACACAATTTCCATTCAAACTTGCCAGCTATATCGGTGAAGATCTGCAATGAGTTAAAATGTATTTTGCAAAATAAGAACATGATCGTCATCCTTACCGATAAAGTGTCTCCCACGTATCTTACCAGAACTTGAGTTTCATGCTCTTTGTTTCGAAACTTCGCCTCACATCCTTAAAATGAGAGATATGAAAAATATGATTTGCAAGAAAATCTGGCGCGATAATGACTGATGATATTACCAGTGTGCTCTCCACCCAGTTGAGTGTGTGTGCCGTCTTTATCGTGGTCATAATGCAAACTACCGTCCGAAACCATAGCTGATATATACGGATGCGCATGCTGTAAAGAGAGATTAGAAAAAGTATTGAGATTGCTCGAAATACAGATAGAGATGCAGTAGAAATGACCATATTTGCAACATACGGAATGCGGTCCATTGTGATTACTGTAAGTGTCCAAAAAGACACCTAGACCTCGGAAGTAATCCTTCCCTCCAAAAACTGGCCCCATTTGATTTGGCTCGGACACGTACCAGATTGCAAATCCATCACCAAACAGGTCACCTCAAGCATATTGGTACAGAAGCACAACATTGAATTATATTAGTGACAGATATGGTACTATACTCTACCGTATTTGCTATAAAACTGATATGAATATTCCAAGCCTTCCTGATGGAGCGTCTATACAGGAAACGCATCTGCTATGTTCAAAAAAAAACCGCTGATTATATTATCTCTGATAACGTACTTTAAATGATGATACGATACTCTGGCATGACAAGATTCCGTGCGCGGTCAGCTACGTTTACTAGATTTGGCGATATAATGCCACTACGGTGGCAACAACATTTGCGCGAAACATGGCATGCGCGTAAAAATTGGGCATAGGGCAATTTGAGCATTGTTTACTCGCGTAAAAGACTCTACGTCCTACTAGGTAATTCGCTTCAAAATTTCAGCACATCAAGCAGCTTGCGCCTACTTCGCACATAGAAAAAATTTATGCTTTCACGATATGTTAACGACTTCTGAAGCAAAGCTTCGTCCGGTTATTTAGAACCATGCATGCTCTTTAGTGGGACTTTCATTAGTGAATACGGCGACAAAACAACAAGAATGAGAGCGATGGTCGGGATATAAACTAACCAGTGGAGCCGGTGACTTTGAAGGACACTTGAAACTCCCAGTCTCGCGACCAGACAGGCTGTAAAGATGAGATTGATAGGAAGCATAAGACAAAAAACTGCACAGTCGCAAAAAAACCCTGATACAGTCCATAAAAACTTACCTGCATGTTCCATATGGCACCTTGTCGACTTTGTTCGTCAGCTGTCAATCGTACCTGTTGACTGGTGACCATGGAGCTGCCCTGGATATTCCAAAACGGAATCTCCATCCCAGCACCTCAAAATCCGATAACAGAGTGTTTGCCCAAAAAAATGTAAGGAAGACGGTCTCTTACCTTGATAGGGTCGCGTCAACGAGTGCTCTCTCTTGTAATAGCCACGAAATTCATGGACCGACGTGCCTTCTATAGCTTGAGCTAGCACTTCCGCAGCTGTAGGTGAAGCCGACGGCTGCTGTGCTGTGACAACTCCAAGAAGTAAAATTCGCCACATGGCGAATCTGTGATGAAGATGATCAGCATTTCAGATGTTTGGCCAATACAAAGAAAAAAGACATGGATATAGCGGCTCAAATGAAAACAGGGATACATTTCTATCCTGCTAAATCAATCGGCTCTAGATATGTTTGATCAGCTGACGTTCACTAGATAGCAATTCATCAGCAGTATCGAACGATAGGAGGAAACGATTACGAAGAAATCAAATCACTGAAAATCATTTAAGAAACATTGGGCAGACTAATCCAGCAAAGCGATTAGTAAGCTTTGCAACAAAATAAATGCTAAGGAGATTTATTTTTTTTCTCCTGCTTTCTCACCCTTCCTTACAAGATTTCGACTCCAAAAATGTTTAAATCGTCAGTTGCACTGCTGATAACGCTAATTTCTTGACGGCAGAAAATTGATAAATCATCAGAAGTTCATGCAAAAAAAGCATGCACTGCAAATCCAGAGTTGATAAACGAAGAAAAAGGTAAGATCAGAAAAGAACATGATGTTTAAACTATAGGGAAACGAATTTACTAGATGCATTTATCTTATCTGAACAGCTGCATTCGCATATTCTGCAATCTACAGTGTGTCGACTACATCTATCCCAAGCAGATGGTACCGTTGCAATAGGGGAAAGTAAAAGGAATGCTGGTATTAGAATACAAACGATGCATCTACAGTAAATAGAGATAGTACATAAATCCTGACAGAGCAGACCCTGTATACATTTTTGACACTTATGCTTTCGATCTCTCTGGTGCGAGCCCCATGAAAGACTTTATCATGAAGAAAGAGCATGATTATTGATGTATTTCCTCTATGTAAATGTCAGACGTATTATGGAGTGCAAGTATCGAAGCGCCAAAATTCAAAATTGCAGGGGCCAATGAAAAAGTTTGCACTCATATGTTCCACAGGGCTTGATGCTTATAATATAGCTTCCACATGGGGAGTTGCTAGTTATGCTGGATTCTCTGAATATAATCAAGATTGTTTGTAGCGTACAGCATGACAAGCATGACTACTCCGACTAAATAAACATTCAGATACGCAGAAACAAAAAAATCGACAACAATCGAGGCATAGAGATGCGGACTGCTTGCTAGTAATCCACCTAACACTGTAAAAAATAGGTTGGAACTCAAGCCCTGCTCACAATCCATCATCAGAAGCACAGCAGTAAATTAAAACCAACGCCAGGCCAACAACTGCTAACAAAACACTATGAAGAGGAACCAGTAATGCACGAACACTGACGTGGCAACAGCATTATCATGTAACAATACCAATGTCTGCTCCGATCAAAATCGCGTGTGAAGCCTTGAATTTCAGGCAAATCGACCCAGGACGCCAACCGTATTCGAGCTGCAAATTTCCCTCCTTCTGCTGTTCGAGCGCAGATTCGGCATCCGCATTTTGTGGTTGTCTTTCGCGGGTTTGCTAGGGGGTTGGATAAATTGTTTCACTTTCGTGTAAGCTGTCATTTCAAGGGGCTTGTAGGCGCGGTTAACAATTTTTGAAGTAGGAGTAGTTCTTATATTTATTCTTCGTGTAAACTTCAGTTCATTGTAGAGATTCGTTACTCTTCTCTATATGTGATTCTTATGCCAAGGGTATATCTTATTGACTTTTGTTAATTTACTACAGTGTTCTGCTTTTTTAACATGTACTTGATTTGAACTTAATTTAATTATGCGCTTTCTAGCCAAGTATCGAGTATTATTCCATGATTGTAATCTAAAGTTTGACATTTAGCAGTGCTCATATAGCAATTACTCTATGAGGAGTCTTTATTTGAAAGGTTTTGTACGCTCTGTTTTTCATTACCACATTCTTACTGAAAGTCAAATCTACATCTATTAATTAGACCCAGATATCTCGAGGCAATGTGGACCTTATCTGTAGTAAAGGAGTGAGGAAGTTGTTAGGATAGTGATTAGGCTGTTAGGAGCTCGGTAGTTCGAAAGAGGGAAAAATGGAGCATTCGAAGGTCAACTGGATATTCAAATAGGTTATGGCCATCTGATTGTAAATCTGTGATACTCTGACTCGAAGGGAGTTTTTTTTTCTAAATTAGTCAAGATTTGCTTTATGTGCTTCTCATATTGCATTCACTAGTTGACTTCTCCATGTTTTTTCTCACACTGCAATATTCACCTCCATAATTGACGCGATATCGCTACCTATACATTTACTGTAATTTGCATATTTTAACTTTGTTTTTAGGTAAAAATGATCTACGTGCTTTTGCTATCCCTCGCAGTCGTTGCCGTCGGCGAGGATGCATCCACTCAAACTCGGGTACGTTTGATTATACATGCTCGCCTTTTTTTTTATCTTGTGGGCAGTATCATTGTTAATGTCCCATTTTTTTCCATCATGAAACAAGTTTATGCATAAAACCATAGATGGTAACCTGAATTTCGTAAAATCAAGCATTGCATGAAGATATATTGTAGGGATCCACTCATCTGTTCTTTTTTCCTAGTGTCCGACCATAAGTGCTCATTGAACTTTCCCAAATATCAACGGTAGTGGGCTGTTTTGGGAGTGATTGACAGGCATTGTCATCCACTCATTCGCCTGAGATTGACTGCAAATTATTTTTACATGAACTTTTTTGTCGTGTTGTTAAAATGTCTCACTTCATCTTTTCTGAGTAAAGGCTGACATGCAGAAATGTCATACTTGACGGTTCTTCTCAGTGATCATGCTTCAAGATCTTCCTTTGTCAAACCTATTCGTATTGTACTTCGGCCTTCAGCTTACTAATTTTTCTGATTCTTCGGTTTCCTTTGCCAAATTCTTGCCGATTTTTAGGATGCCTTCATCGTTGCTAGTAAGTTCCCTCAATCAATCTACGCAGTGGAAAACATGGATCTTGTTCTGGAGTACGAATTGTACAATACCGGCGACAAGGCTGCTCTGAAGGTATGACGTTCGTATTTTTGTTTCCGTTCTATTCCTCACTTGTCGTGATTAAGGTAACACTTGACGACAGACACTCGTTCCCTACCCAGTCCTTCGAAATTATCAAAGGTCTGCTGAATGTTCGATTTGAAAGGATCAATCCTGGAGCCAATGCAACTCATTCTGTCGTTGTGAGTTCAAATTCATATATGGTAACTTTACCGCTAGCATATGGTCTTTTAATCAGATTCGACCACGTCAGTTTGGAGTTTTCAACTACACCTCTGCCCAAGTCACATATACATCTGAGGACAGCAGCGACATTCGGGTCGGATACACCAATGCTCCTGGAGAGGGTAAGATCTATTTGGATCAGTTTTATTCAAGATTTCCGTGTACTAAGGCCCCAGCGAGACGCTGCTAAAGGCTCAAAAACATTCAAAAGCGCGAGAGCGCCCAAAAGAGCCCAGAATTTTTCTAATCTCTCTTTACCTTTTGTGTGAGCAGAGATGAGAGAAAGTGAAGAGAGATTAGAGAAATCTGGGCGCTTTTGAGTGCTTTCGAGCGAATTCTGGCCATGCTTAAGATCCTGCTGGAGAAAGAGGTTTTAGATGTTATGATGTACTGACGTCATCAAGAAATCTCAATGTATACAACTGTTTAGGCTACATCTACCGTTTGAAAGAGTACGAGCGAAAGTTTGCTCCCAAGTACATTTACTGGATCGTCTTCTTCATCCTCATTGCACCCACCACGCTTGGATCTTATCTTGCCTATTCCAAGAGCAAGAACAAGTACGAAGAGCTGGCCAAGAAGAAGAACTAACTTTGTTCGGAAATAGTCAAGGTGATTCTCAGATCCTTTGAGTTGTCGTTGAAAATGTATCCACTTTTCGTCATATCTCATCAATTATAATGCATCCTTCCATCAGTAATACCTGAAAATTTTTTTGTTATTGCCTTCTCGTGCTATAAGTTTTCGCGTCATCTCACAGAGTACTGCTTGGGTATGTATGTTGTTCGTAGGCTACTTCTATCCGCGAGTGTTGATCAACCTGAAGTGCGGCGGGTCATCGCTGTTTGAAGTTTTTTTTCGTTAGAACTAAATTTCTGTGATTATCTCATTGATTTATTTGTTTGTTTGTGTCTTTTTGTTTGGAGAGATAAATTATTTATTTCATTCCATACGATCGTTTTTATTCAAGATTGGTGATCAGCATGCATGCAAATGAATCGAGGTCAGGCGCACAGATCGTTTGGAAGCAGGCGAGATTTCGTTTTTTGGGGCGAAAATGCAAAGGGGATATCGTTTTTGTGGGTCCGAAAAAAACATAAAAACTAGGTAGTCGACGTTTCCGCTTTTGGATCATAGAGGAATTAGACCTTCGTAGAATTTTGCGGTAGTCAAGGGGGACTGTGTTTCTAAAAAGCCCAGAAACGGACTCGTGCCTGGCCCTGATTGAGGTAGAGATAAGAATTTCAAATTAAGGTTGTACTTCCATGTTTTCTTGAGTTGGTAACCTTCATTGCATGGGTTGAGCTTGTGATTCAGAAAGTCATAACGGCAGGGATGCAAAGTGCAAGCAAACTCAGTCATATTAAGTGCCGCAAACACGTATAGTCTTCGAAGCTCTGTGAAGCCAAATCATGTCGTTCATAGTATGGGCTATAAATGTGATACAGATACGTGTGGTCTTCTTGTCCTGAAGTTTCGATATAGTATAGTACATTACCGAAGGAAGGCAGTAGCTAGAAATTACACACAGCAATAAGAGAATTTTCAAAACTAAATGCACTCCAACGGCTCGTTATCAGTCCATAAGAATCTCAACATTTTCATCACAGAGGAATTCTGTTATTCAAGTTCTGTTCACTTAATCTTGTACCCTATTTTAGTCCTACAGATTTTGAGGATAAAATGCAGTTGCACAGCTCTGGGGTGACAGCTAGCGGTGTTATAATAAATCTGTTCGAGTACCACAAAATTAGTGATTCTCTCCCCCCCCCCGCTCTCCTTTCTTTCTCCACCTTCAGCCTCTTTAACATGAAGTGCAACGCTTCTGAGCAAACTCGAAGAGGACACTGAAAGGGAAGCACCTTTATCCTTTTATCCTTCGATTGTCCCCATGCCTAATCCCTATTCAAAAGTGCGCAGAATATATTATTATGTCAATGGTTGCTTTTTTCTTGAATACTCCACACAAACAACATCAATGCGTTATGCAGGAAATTGGCTAAGCAAATAAATAAATTTAGCAGGAGGGCCAAAAATTCCTAGAAGTGCCCGCATGAGGGATTATCTCAATGAGAGAGCATGGCGTCAGCGCGTAGGATCAGCTATGTATGATTTTCTGCAAAAATTTTGAATGCATTTAAAATTTATTTTGCGAGCTTATCCTTCAGATTGAAGGGGCGTGGCTAGCATCAGACTTTTTTCACAGATAATATTGATGTTTGAAAACCTTCAGAAATAAGTTTGATTATTTACTAGGTTTCCCGAAAGTTCTGTCGTTTCGTTTTTAAAAAATCGTAACTTTGCGTGCGCTGTCTTGACGGATTTGCTCCGTTATACTTTTATTAAAAAGAGTAAGTTTTTCCCTTTCGAATGCGTTTTTGTTGAGCTTCTGCTACGCACTGACTGCAGAGATAAAAATAGAAAAAGGAAACCATATAAAGTTTGCTCATTTTAACTTAGGTCGCCAAAAATCTGGAAAGCTGCAGAACATCTGAAATCGTCAACACGTAAGTTTTTTGACCTACTTTTCCCAACTGTGAAAAATATGTTTTGTTTGAACGTCTCTGTGAAAAGTTACGAAATACCAGTTTACTACAGAAAACCCCGAAATTAATTAATTTGTCACTTCTCGAAAATCATAACTTTTTAAACAAAGGTCCAAAAAAGACAAACTTTTCACAGTCGCAAGGAGTAGGTCAAAAATCTATGTAATGACATTTTCAGATTTTTCTGCAGCGTTTCCGATTTTTGGCGACCCAACTTTATATGGTCTCCTTTTTCTATTTTTGTCTCAGCAGTCAGTGCATAGCAGAAGGTCAGCAAAACAGCATTCGAAAGGAAAAGACATATTTTTACAATAAAAATATAATGAAGTAAATCCGTTGAGACAACGCAAAGTTACGATTATTCGAAAATGAAACGACAGAATTTTCCGGACAACCTAATATGAATGAGAACGAATCCACTGCACACCTTCTTTGGAAATTTTCGCTACCCATTTTCGAGGGCGAGGGATCGGGGATTTTTTTATTTCTTCTCATATCCACAAGCGCTATTTGTTGCCGATCTGGCCAGCTTATATACGGCCTAGAAGTTTGAGGTTTGAAATTTTTTTTCGAAGTGGCACTAGCCCCTTATGGCGAAAATTTTCCAAAGTTAGTTTCCACGGTAAAAATTACGGTGCAAGAGTTCGATGGTCCGACCTCTACAGTAGGGTCTGCACTTGCATTTGCAACATAATCTACTGAGCAAAACCAGATCTAATAGTTATTTGATTATGCAGTATGCTAATAACACTAATTCGCTTAGGGCTTTTCCTGCTCAAGGGAAGGCGGTGTGGGGAGCTGCACATTTATGTATTCAATCTAATTATGCTTATTTTAAGTGAGAGCGTTCGAGAAAAAAAAACGACACTCGAAGAATTTCTTGCATTCGTTGGAAAAGATCTACATTGGCAGAGAACTTTACTAATAGTTCAAATTGTCGCTTGCAAATTGAGATAGCAAAATTTAAGCTCATCACATCGCGCGCTAGATTTTGAAATGCAGTTCTCAGTAGATGCACAACTATTTATATAGTCTTTGTTGCTCAAGTCTGTGTGCGCTTAGCCGTTTATGTATGTTATTTTTTGCCAGACCGCTTCCGTTCTACATAGCTATGTAGCATGAAAATTGTTGTTTATGTCAGACTTTTCCACGCTATTGGCTAAAAAACCTAGAAGGACCGACGTCTAATAGGTCCCAGAAACTTTCTTTTGTTAGTGAGCATGAACTTTTCGCTTAGTAAAGACAGAGGGGAGTCGAGAAAACCGAGTTTTTCTGAATAATCCAACTTGTTATGTTGAGATACTATGTATACATTTTGTATTCCACATCATTAACACAGCTAACGAGGTAGAAAGTATTTTCATCCATGCTCAGTAAACATTGTCTGTGGATATGACACATTGAGTTTCGAAGGAAAACAAAATGCTCCCATTTGTTGAAAAAAAAACCCAAATTTGGCTTTACTGAATTGATATCTGTCGGAGCATAAGTCTTGTAACAATTTATCTTTTCCTAGAAAAATCTAGAAATCTTGGTAAAATCCGTGTTTGGAATATTTGAGACGAAAAAAACCATCCACTGAGATCTTTTCATTCATGGACATAATCTACATACATATAAGGGCAATTCTGTAAGCACTTCTTTCTCCATCTTTTCTTTTTATTTCGTTTGGAAGCTTATAAATATCCGGGAGCATTAATGCTCATATACAGACTGTTCAGAGCTTTTTTTATTCAGCAACACAGGCAAAAATTTCGTCAAAAAATTCGGAAAATTTCAAAACTTTAGAAATGATTATGTCTGTCATGTATATATCAAAATCTACAACCCTTCAAGAATTTTTGAAGTGGGGAAAATTTTCTCCAAGAGAGTTACAAAAGATTTTCTTTCAAGGTGTAACGAAAGTTAGACGTCTGACTCAATCGTGTAGTCAATCCTTTTATCGTGCAATCCCACGTTCCGTAAAATTAATTCACACAATGACATGTTTTTCACTTCCAAACAAATTCTACTCAGTTCCTGAGAAAAAACATGATGAACAGAGCAACACCTACATCCTTGATTTATCTATAATCCCTCAATTACCTCTGACGTTTTTTTTGAATGGAAGCGCAAAGCAGAGATGCGCCCCGCCCCTTTCTTGACATCGCGAATGTGGGCGTGCTTGAAAACAGTTTAGCGGATTCGCTACGCAGGTTGGTAATCTTATTTTTGGCATCACGCCAAACAATCTCTCTATCTGTTATATTTAGCAGTAATGAAAGTGTTCTTCGTGTTTCTGTTCCTTTTCTCATGCGTCTTCGTTGGCGTGATGCCATTTCGAGGCGGCCATGGGCGACCACTCTATGGTAAGAACTTTTTCTACTTCTTTGTCTAGACTTTGATTTACTAACATTCAAAGACACTTATAAGCATCACCTTTTTATAGCTCTGAGAATTTTACAAAATTTTCTGAGTAAAAATTCTTGAAGAAACTTTGAAATGCAACGAAACTTTTTTCACAAGTTCATGCATTTTGTCTGAGATAGTTGACTACAGATGCAGATCTCCTTTTGCATTCATGAGTTTTCTTCAAGTTAAGTACTTGAAATTGCGGTAATTATTAAAAAAAAACTTTCTGCAAGACAACGAAGCTATTTTCTTTTAGCAAATTCAGCCGCTAGTTAGCATCGTTAGAATTTTTTTTGCGATCGAGTTTGGATTTCCTTAGTAAAGAATTGACTAAACTATTATTTTTTATGCCAGTAACTTCTAAAACTTCACCGTAAATCTTTTAGGAGTGGTCGGAGGTGTCAATTACGCCAATGACTTTATTCCCGTTCGAAGTTTCGAAGGAACAAGAGGCTCGAGAGGTTCAAGATTATACGGATCATTCTAAACGAAACAATTTCGCACACAAAAACATGTGTCAAAAGTTAGAAAAATAAAATTTTGCTTGTGTTTCTGCATTTGCTGAAGGAATCTTTGAACTGTTCTCGTTTTCGTGATGGCTTTTGTCGGTTCGGGCATATTAGAGTTCCCGACGTGCTCAGAGATTCCACGTTTTCAGCCTACGTAGACTCATTGTTACCTAGATGGAATTCAGAATAAGCCTGATCTGGAGAGCAACCACACTCTTCCGGTTTATCATTCAGGTGGACTGGATATAGATGTTAATCTTTGAACGTTAAATGTAAATAATGGATGTGCTACGAAATATGTATAGTGGTGCTGAATAGTGCAAGATAGGTGGGGGGGGGGGGCTAAGAAATATTCAAATAGGTGTAGTAAATAGATTTGTGAACTCTTAAAGACTTAAACAAGGGAAAAGATCGTAAAGACAGGACTTTTTTCAAAGCTTGCATAAAAAGCACCGTTTGAAATATTGCAAGGTCAAACGAGTTATAATAGCTAAAAAAATGCTGCATTTGGTTAGGCCCTCTATGAAGAGTACGACAAATGAAGACTTCAGATTTTATTTGCCAATGAAAAGTAATTTACAACGAATTTTCTGAATGATTTCACTTAGCGCAAACAACTCGCAATGCTTTTCCTTGAGCAAATATGGTCAGATGAGCATTCATAAAAGATTCCAGAATATGCTTCCGCAGATTCTAGGCAGTTTCGTCATGCAATGAAATGTTGTGAAATTCCCGTTATTCATTTTTATCCTTTTTGTATCATTTCTCAAAGTTTTTTTTTCCAAAAGAATTGTAAATTGGTTACATGAGTCTTCGATAAAATTCAGAGATGCAAAAAAACTCTGTTGTAGTTAAAGTGTGGAATATCACCAAATTTCACTCAACTTATTGAGAAAAAAACTCTGATTCAAACAATCAAGAGCGTTTTCATATTATCACATGTTCACTCAACTAGCAGAAAAACTCAAATTATTGTATAATTGATAAGTGCTCGGCTAATCTCATATTCCAATTGTCCTCCATAAAAATAATGATTTGACTATAATGACAGTAACCACTGCGTAGCGAATCTCTCCTGCATCATTAGCTCGTCATGAAATGATCAAAAGCAAAAATCTTGTTTCATTGAAATAACAAGTACTCAAAAAAGAGCTACAAACAGGGCTCAGCACGGGTGGCTTATAGGCAAGCTGGATATCGTTTTTGGGACAGAAAGCGAAGGGAGTTTCGTTTTTGTGGCCGAAAACACACAAGATTTGCGACTTTTTTGGTCGTTTCGTTTTTTGGGGATTTTTTTGGGGATTATGATCTAAGGTCAAAGAGGATTTCGTAAAAATTCGCAATAGTCAAGGGGTCTTCATTTTTTGCATTTTAACTAGCCACCTCGTGCCAAGCCCTGGTTACAAATCCACCTTGTCGTTATTTTTTGTCCATTACTCAGTTTTGCCTTTGATCATGCGTGCAAGAATTTCATCTCTTCGAAAGCGGCTCGAATTCATTTTCGCAGGGTTTGAATGCACTACCTTACAAACATCCATTGCCTTAGCTTCGCCATGAACAAAAAATTAAAAGAAATTTGCCCTTTAAGAAGTCGCGAGACAATATTTTTATGCATTTGTGATATCTTGGAAATTATCAGGTGGCCTATAAGTTCCGTTTTCAAACGAAATGTAAGAGCTTTCAAGAAGCAGAAAATTAGAAAGAATTGCTTTCAATATTGGAGATTGCTTGAGTGTTTGAAGTAATATTTCAAACATCTAATATATTAGTATAATAGTCACACAGTTTCAAGTTTCACATTGTCTTATAATCACCCGAAGAATGTCGTTGCTATAGATGTCAGAAATATTGGAAATTATCAGATTGGCCTAAAGTCCCGTTTTTTCTCACCCCAATAAATCCCATTTTTCTTGAGAAGAAGCTCTAGGGTATCTATCTGTAGAGCGAAGCAAGCTCTACAAGCTGGTGTCCAAACACTTACACAAAGCGCCTTCCACATTCAGTTTAAGATTGAAATCCAAAATTTTCAGAAGAATGAAAAGTTGAAAAAATCAGAACTCTGTTTAGAAAATTTCTGAGAACTTCAAACTTGTTCACTAATATGTACTCCTCATGTAACCCCAATGTGCACAGTTGTGTATTTTTTCAAGGGCTAAGAATCGCGGAAATAAAATCTGGCATATCCCTCTTAAACCGATGGTGGACCGTTACAGATAATCCTATAGCATAAGCCTTTACAAGTATACTCACAAATTTTTAGCCTTCTATAAGAGAGTTCAAGCGTTAGCATCAGTGTGAAAAGCCATTGAAGCCAAAAGCCAATTTCTCATCTAGCCATGGAAAAAGCACTGCAATTTTGTATATAAACGTCAGAGGAATGCACATGTGTAACAATTTGAGGCTCTTAGAAATTTTTGAACCGACTTCTAAATAGTTTTCGAGTTTCTGGGGTTTTGAAAATATTCAGATTCTGATTTCAAACTGAACATGGAACGAGCTTTGTGCGAATGTTTCGATACTTGTAGAGCTTGCTTTGCTCTATCGACAGATACCCCAAAGCTTTCCCGAGAACCACGAAAAGTGGAAGTTGGTTCGGTGAAAACGGGAAGGACATCTAAAAATATATTGCTGCATAGGTACTTTACTTTGGAGCGAATCGAATAACATTTCGATTATTCGAATAAATCATTCGAATGCGAATGATTCGAAATTTCGTATATGAAAATTTGAAGATTAGAATAATTCGATAGTCGTATATTTGGAAGTTTTGGTTCTCGAATATTATTCAAATTCGAATATTCGAAAGTTTCAATTTTCAAATATAATTCGATATTCGAATATTCGAAAAAAATTTCGAATTTTCCAAAGTATAGTAGGTACCAGAAGGTTAATTTATTACCAAATTTCATTGCTAGACACTGAAAGGATTCATGGACTGCTGTTGATGTCGGGATTTGATCAGATTCACTGATAAAGCATTAATCATATATTAGGTTGTCCCGAAAGTTCGTTCGCACCATTTTCAAAAATTCATAACTCTTTAAATTCTCAACGAATTTGTACGAACAAAATTTTGCTTAAGAGAGGAACTCATGCTCTTTGTATCCGTTCCCGAATTGTTCGTTGATGTATACAAATGAAGGAGATAGAAGCTCAAAACCAAAATCACTCAAAATTTGAATTTTTCGTATAGGGTCATAAAAAATCGGAAACTTGCAACAAAAATCGGAGCAGTCGATATTGTAGGTTCTTTCACCAGCTCTTTCTAACAGTGCAAAGTTTGCGCCGATTGAGCTTCTCTGTGAAGTTATGGTTTTTGAGGAAGCAATAGAAAAAAGCGAATTTGATTTATTTTGGCATTTTTCAGGGAAATCATAACTTTTCATAGAAACGCTCAATCGGCACAAAATTTGAACTGTTAGAAAGAGCTAGTAAAAGAACCTACAATGCGGACTGCTCCGATTTTTGTTGCAAGTTTCCGATTTTTTATGACCCTACACAGAAAATTCGAATTCTGACTAATTTTCTTCTATCGCCCCTATCTATGAAAAGATGACCATTAGCAAGCATCTAAGATGTTATTATAAAGGGCATGACTTACTCTTTCATACAAAAGTAAAAACAGTCAAATCGGTAGGAATAAACAGAAGTTATGAATTTTTGAAAATGATGCGAACGAACTTTCGGGACAATCTAATATTATACTGCGTCTGATGTCCTGACATTATATTCCTCCAAGTAAAATGCTTCTGTTATAATTCGGTCATGCTGAATAAAATCATGAGACTATGAATATGGTACAGAGTATAAAAATCAAATAGAGCAGAATAATAAACGGCACAAATTTTTAATATTGAATTTTTTTAGAGGCTGCGTCCAACACTGAGGATCTTGTAAAACCGCGAACTATACACATTGCAGCTCGTCCTAGGTTTGAAATTAACAATTACTGCTTACATTCCTATAAAAAACAAAAAAAATTACCTAATTCCGTTTCGTTCCTACTCACTATACGGAAATTAGGCAAAGTATACGTTCTTCCCGGAACTCATCGGTAGTGAAGGAAGATCGTAAACTAATAAGTAAAAGTAAGAAGAAAAAGAAAGAAAGAAAGCGAAAGCGAAACTATCGTCTGGATTTAATGCTTCTAAGCATTTCAGGTAGTAACGTAGCCATTCTCTATCCCTATATGAAGGAAGAGTGGTGAAAAAAAGGTGTTGGCACCTCAACACATGTTTTTTGGGTTATCTCAAGGAATCCCATCGAATAGTAGCTGGTGGGCATTTCTCCCTCCAGAAAGGTCGCCAATTTTCTGAAGTGGTCTTTTTGGAATTGTAAAATGAATAAGTTGTTTTCATTTGCAAATTACTATAAGACTTTGAGTAACGCATGGCTTACAACGATCCAATCCGGCTTTCCCCTAAGAATTTCCTGAGCTTGCACAAAGTTTGAGAAACTTCCCAATATTGAAGCTAGTCGTTTCCGAGAAAACTACAGTCTCTTATGAGGAGTCGACTGAAATTCTATAAGCGTTGCATAATGAATGAAGCAACCTTGGAGGGACCAAGCCAATTTGTCGTTTGAAAGCCAGATATAAAAGATAAATTAGGAGAAATCATGGGGAGATGTCAGATTATTAAACTGTTTTGGTCAAAGATGTGTAAAATATTCAAAAAGTGGTAGAGGAGAACAATAGCGATTGGATCGGTTTGCAAACTTGCACAGATCGGTGTAGAGCGATGAAGGTTGTACCCGATTTCGTTTTTTTCTTTACTTTTAATTGAGACTTACGTATTAAATAAGGCTAGACCTATGTTATGGCTATTCACATCATCACATTGGCTGCCATAAGAGCTAGAAGATCACTACCGACTGCTCAATAAAAATACTAAGATTGAGAAGGTATTCTTCATGAAAATATGTGGGGGTGAAGAGTATACAGAGGAAGCAGAAAATCATCACAATCTCAGTTAAATATAGGAACGACGTTTTTGTAGCAGTATGCAGTAGATGGTTCCAGCATGCTTTTGATCAACCTTCATGTTTTCAGGCAAATTAGTGCTTATCTAGATGCACATTAGCTACTGCAAAAAGTTTATTAGCTTCTTCAGCTTGTAGTGTTGGTACATGATGTCTATCCATTACAATTGCAAACTGGGTCGAAACATACAAATGGTCCGATTAATCATTTGTGGACCGATACTACTGTGATATCCAATACGGAAGGCTCATGACGCATTTGAAATGGCAAGAATAGGAGAATTAGATCAGGATTTTTGTTACGACGAACATCTCAAAAGACGGGAATAGGTCTAAACCAAAGTTTTCTGGAAAATCACTCAATTTTGCTTTGCACAACGTAGTACTCAAATAAGTCTTTCATAAAGAGTAGCGCAGGTTCAATAGACTATCTTCTACGGAACTAACTCGATAGAAGGGTGGAGTGGTAACGAAACTCTGGCCTAAACCTGAGCCTAAGCCTACCTTAATTTGCTCAAGCTTCGTCTTCCTTCAGCTGCTTTGAGTACTTCCTTGTCTTTCTAAGATTTTTGTGCAAACAAAACATTATCTGTTAGGTTCTATATCGTCACAATGCGACCTCAGTGTTATTCTTAGTTCGAGCAGCTTCATGGTGGTGTTGAAATAAGTTTTCTTTTGTGAAAAGGCACATTCATAACAGAGTTTCAAACCTCAGAGAAATTCGAGTCCTTCCTACCTGCGACAGTGAACAATAAGTTATGAGCTCTAGTCATACACACGGCCAACTAATTGTAAGGCCACGGTAGCGGAGTAGTCTGAAGAGCCTTGTAGGTTAGTGATGCAATGGTGGGTCCCACCCAAACTGAAGGTGATGAGATTTTGATGCTATTTGATAGGGGGGCCCCAACTAAGCCAATAACTTAAGTCTGTCGCTGCAAGAAATATATTCCTCAGCGAGACCGCTCCAGAAAACAGAAGCGGCCACCCCGACTCCTCCCAATACCTGACAAGGGAATGGTCAGAAGTCGAAGTGGCCAATCCACACAAGCTGCATACCATTAGATGCAGCATAAAACGCTGACTCTAAATCTGTCTTCCTTATCTGCAGAGCGCTTTTGTGGACGAAATTACGAGACGTAAATGTGCGTGTAAAGTGCAATCTTAGCCGTACAGTGCCATTCTCGGCTCGGTGGTGGATCAAAACATGCAACTAGGTCACTTCATATGACCCGTACCTAGAGGAGAGCTGAAAGAGCAATAATGTGCCTAATTTCGCAATTTTTGCGCACGGCTTTTTCGCAGTAAAGCTGCTCATAACTTTGCCTACAAAGGCGCTCTGCAGATATGGAAGACAGATTTGAAATCAGCATTTTAAGCTGCATCGAATGGTATGTAGCTTGTACGGATTGGTCACTTTGATTTCTGACCATTCCCCTGTGAGTGGTCTGAAAATAACAAGTCCAAAGTTGAGCTTCAATGTATCCAGAATTGTCATAGACCCACCCTCCTTTACAATAATCACATTTGCGTCTCTGTTGACCCTAAAGCACTTCGGAGTTGTATCTTCAGGCCATGTTGATGGAGCCAGCGTGGCTGCCTTCACCTTCTGGAGCGATTTTCTCGCTTTCAAACTCATCTTTTGCAGAGAGAGTTGGGTGAATGCTTAGTTAGGGGCTCAGCTATAACATAAAAGAATCTCATCCCCCTTAATTTGGGGATGGTGCAATGAATGCTCTGCAACGAAGTCTTGTGATACACTATAACAGGATCAGCGAATAGCACTATGACACCGATCAGAGATTTCAGAGTGGGTGATTATCCATAAAGTAAAATTCTGCGGCCTCTAAAGGTATACCATCCATTCTTAGACAAGAGACCTGAAAAAACGCTTTACACAGTGTGACTATCTGACTTGACTTTTTGACAAACTTCTACCTGTTTTTCCTTTGACTCGAGATAGTGTATTAAATAAAAAATGAGATAGAGACTCATAATAAGGGCTAAGATGTTTACGTGTTTTTGAGTGTGTGTCTGTCTGTCTGTCCGTTACGAAATTCGTAAAGCATATTTCAGCCAACGCCCTGAGCCCAAATTTTGCAAGGCGTATGCTACCAGCATGAAAGTCCAATATGCAAAAGCAGGAGCGGATCCGCTGAGTGAATCTCTCAAAAATTGCGCGTCAAACGGATCCGCATGGCTTCTGGCCAGCGAAATTGGGCCTGTACCACCATTTTGTGAAGTCGTGGATACGTTTGACAAGCTAATGTGGAAGCCATGGACTTTAGCCTAGAAAATTAAACTAAAGTTGACTATTACGAAAATGGTGCCAGAAAGAATTAGTTACGTAAATGTTCAATTTTCCAAGGTTTCATGTGATCATTTGTGAAGATTTTTGCACAGAGTTGTAGCCCACGGTGCTTACTGTCCTTACTAGTGAACCAGTAATTTAAAGGTGCTACTTGGAAGAGCGTTCGTTTCGGTACCCGGTTTCCCGCTATTATTTGCACATTCTTGAATTGCGCTTACGATTCTTCATATATTAGATGGCGACTACCAAGTCATAAGGAGTCCAGAAACCGATTAAAATTTGCATTTATTCTCCTGGGAAAATTTTCATCCACGCGAAAATACCGATCTCATACGAAAAAGCAGTAGGAATGAGTAACTGTTTACAAATCATTCTGATAGCCTGCATAGCGCCGTGAATTTCAAAGTTATTATCAAGCGGAAATGAGTAAGGCATAAAGTAGGGCCACGCATCGGTGAGTAATAACTTCAGATGTGACGTACTGGTGAGTAGTAACTTGTTAATCACACGTGTACGAGTGTCTGCGAAACCCTATCAGAATACGTACCTAGTGACACGGTCGAATTTAGCGTCTTCTTAAGATCAAAGTCAACAGAGGTTGGTGAAGCCTGAGGTTCGACTACGGAATGTAGTAGACGCAATAGAACGGATTTGAAAGGCTGCGAGACCATAAAATTTATTCGTGTCATTCTAGACTTCTGTGAAACAAATCGTGACCAAAAAATCCTTACAACAAAACCTCTTTCTTGCGTCTAACTTGGACTAGAACGTTGACCTTATGATCGTAACGGCTGTCATGTTGGCGCAAGCGCTTCTCTTCACGTGCTTGCACTTTATTTGAATACGAAGGCGAATGACAACCACTAGTCGTTTTGTTTCAATGCTAACTAAGTTTCCAATGTGATCAATCATGCTTTTTTGGTAGATAGAATTAGCCCGTCAATTATTTGCTTGAGAAGGCATTTTCATGTGCTGCTCTGCCAGCCCATTAAGTTTCTAACATCATATCCAAAAAAAATTCTTGCATTAATGTACATGCACTTCTGACACGGCCGAACATTCACTTCCAGAACTTTATGCTTCCACATTTCTCTCTAAATGACTTCGGCAACATTCCTTTCCCTCTTTCACAGCCGAGAAAATACGCTTCTTTTATACTCGGCTCTAATTTTCAATTTGCAGAGAATCACATTCTGTGAAATCCCTCCCCTGTCGATTGTGCCCTTACGGGAAATGTTGATTAAGCTTTTCTGAGGTCCTGAAGCGACAGCTTGCTCTCGGTAACTCAATTCAATATTATCAGCTGCTCGCTCACTATTTTCTTGGAATTTTTGTGTTGATACAGGACTGGTTTTTATGGATCTTCCCTTCTTATGCTAATACATTTTTATGCATATTGTTGAGCACTTTTTGTCCGTCCACGTGTATGTGCTAGGCGTGTGTTCAAATATCACATAGGCTTATATAGTTTTAGATGTATTTATATGGGTAGGTTTCAATGCTAACCAATGGAGTTTTACTACATATTCAATGTGGCGCGCGGACATCGATTTCATGTCGAGGTTTTGGTAAGTCTTTCTTGTCTGCTCTTTCGTTATATATATTTACTTCGATATTATAGCCGCAATGGAAAGTACGCCAATTACAAGAAAATATAGCTCATTTAACGGGAATACGTGTCGATGATCAGGTTGGTTCTTTTTAGTAGTTGCGCATCCACCTTTTCAATTTCTTTCTTAGGTTCTTTTGAAAGGATGCGGAGAAATTTTGGATAGCGAAAGTCTAATCCAGTGCAGCCCTAGCGAAAGCGAGTTTCAGTTTCTGTCAAAGTGCTAGTGTAAACTTTATGGAGCAGTTTTCAGACAATGCAGATTCACCTGTATATCTTTTTCAACGAAGTAGTCGTTCGGAGAGAGAGGATAGTCGACACTGGGATCAAGAAATCAACGAAATCACGAGTATTATAGATGTTTCTATCGAGAATGTAGGTTTTATTCGATGCAATGACGTTATCCATCAATGATGTTTTATCTGCAGGCTTGTAGCTCTGAGCGGGATCCTGATCTTCATCGTGCTTATCTTAATATTCCTTTACGAGCCAGAGAGTGCCGAAATGCATCGCAGAGCGCAATTCATGCCTGTGCTCGTTTTGTTGAAGAACATCGTTTGATTCATCAGGTCTTTATTACGCCTTCATATTTTTTCTGTTTGGAATCTTTCCCATTCTTAGGGATGGATGGCTCTTGTGAATAACATGGACGACTCTGTTGTGCGTCTAAAGAGGAGGGCAGCTCGTTTTCAGCATCAAGTAGATAAAGTGGGATTCTTCAACCTCTCCTAAAAGCAATGAGTCAGGCTGTACCAAATTCAGGTTCGGCAACAGAGAGAGAAAGCTAATGAACTTTTGCAAGGATTTGATGCTGTTACAGATCAGCTCAAACGTGTGAGTATACTTTTTTGACTATTGATTAACTTGGTTTCTCGTTTTTCCCAGTTCTTTGTCTGTCACAGTGAATTATTTTGATGGTGTGTTAATACGTCTTGCGCTTTGTACAAAGGGTTCTATAGTGTAAATTAATTTCATTAACTTTTTTCTCTGTCAATTAGTAAAATTGTAGATTCGTCTTCCTGGTGCGCTCCTGGCTTATTCGCGTGGCTCTCAACCGGATAGGTCATCGCAGTCCGATCTTTCTTTGTATGCATGGATCTCTGCCTCAGATCCTCAACACTCCCTCCAAGATCTTGTACAGCAAGTGAAGGAGCAAATAAATAATGTTAGAGTGTTTTTTGTGGTCGGAGATGACGTAGAACCTTTACTATTAAGTTTGGGCAGTCTGATGCTATGTCCACTGTTCAAAGTATAGAGAAAGTGGTGGAGCTGTCGAAAGACGTGAACTGCCGTGAAATCAAGGGTTTCAACAAGAGAATAAGCTTCTTGGATCACTACCTACGGCAAGCCGAAGGTAATTAGCTGCGTTTGGTTTACACACTTTCAGAATTTACCTTTTTTCTTTAGTGCGGGACGAAGCAATTAACTCTCATATGTTGAGAATTGTAGAAACTCCTAGTCGTATCGATCAGGCATCGATGGAGGTACGTCTTTCAACTCTGTTTGTGTTTTCCAAGTTTGCTTTGTATCAGGAACTTATCTCCGAACATCGCTACATCTTGAGCCAGATCTATGCGGAACTGAGAGAACTCAAGAATATATGTAATAGGTTTTTCCAATCGAAAGTGGAGGTTCTCGGAATTCTGAGAGTACGTCTCAACTCATGGATTGTGCGTGTGAGTCGAACGTCATTTCATTGTATTTTTGCTATAAGCTTGGCAAAAAGTCAACATCTTTGGTCCAGCTTTTTTGTTTGTTTACTTCTAGTTAGGTGCACCTTTTTGGCTGCCGATGCACAGTGATATACATTCATGTACATATTTAATATGAATCATGTTATACATTATATAAAATGAAGCGAATTCAGGTATATGATCGCTTGTTCCATGCACATAATGAGGTATTGGTGTTCGAGGAGAAGTTTACCGGTTTGAAACAACGGCTGGACTTAGTCAGGCAAATTAAGGTACATTGCTCTCTACTTTACTTTTTTCTTTCATAAACATCTTTGTTTCTTCAAGGAGGCCCCTATGATGTATGCCACCGCCGTAAGCGAAGTTGTTCGTCGTCGAACCTTCCAGAAAGAGTTTGCGCTTTGGCACTCATTGCATGTTGAGAAGTGTTCTGCTCTCTCGGATGAGGAATCGCAAATCCGCGCTCAGTTTTCTACCAAAATGGAGAAGCATTTCCTTCGAGTACTTTTTCATGGTAAAATTTGTTCATTCTATCTCAGTTTCCGTATTTTTACCCTCATCATCTTAGGAATGTTTGACTCACTGCCTGTATTCTATGTAAAATCACTGCCGAAGTTTGACGAATCCCTTGGACCCATTGATGCCGAACATCTTCGAGAATTGCGCACTGTATGTATTTTTAATATTTGTGTGATCTTTCATGTAATAATGGTATCATCTAGAGCGTTGAGGATCTGCGGCAATACTTAAAAGTCACAGCCCCACAAGTCTTCCTTCGTTTGAGCGTCAGGTTCGTCTTATCACCTTCCGTTTATGCCGGCAGTAACCATAGCTTGTAGGGATCCTGCCATGCCATCTCCGGCGGTACAGCATGGAGTGATGCGTAGAGAAGAAAGTTTTTTCACTGCCGACTCGACATTTTCGCTATCTTCATTGACTCGCAATTTCCCTAGCACAAACTGGTTGAGGTAATGATGTTTTCATGTCGATTGTCCTTATTTTTCTTCAATGTAATTCCGTCTAATTTCTGTTGGATTTATTCTTTTGATTCTGTTCACACTTACTATATGATACAAGGAACAATTTCTGGATTCTTCCAGTACTGATGACATGGATTCATCGCCCTCAACGGCGCCTACTTTGCTAATGGCGAAGTCTCCCCTGTCGAGGGTCGGTTCATCCTCTAGTCTGAACATACCGGCAGCACCTTCTTTGAACCAGTTATCTATGCTAGTAAGAACTTGCCATTTTCTCTGTTGATATTCCATCAATACTGAATCATAGGGTGAGGAAGAAGAATTACCGGGTCAGTCGTCGGCATCGGTTGCGAAAAGTGCACCGATTCAGATTCCAACTCCGCAGCCGCGACAGGTAATGCAAATCGTCAAATTGGTTCTGCATTGTCGTATCTTTCTCTAATGCTTCGTAGAATCTTTGGTGTATGTTTTGGGTGTTAGTTATAACGCTGTTCTGGGTCTCACCTGCAAATGTTCTATGATAGTAAAAGTAGGGGTTAGTAATATTCTATGACTTTTTTGCTGAAGTCCCAAACACTGCTGAGTTTGCCTCGAATTTTCTATTTACCTCTATTTTTTACACTTCGAGAAGACTTATAAATGAGGTGAATCTGGGTCGTAAATTTCCAAGCCAAGGCATATGCTCGTACATTGACAGCTAGCTTTCACCTCTCACATGCCGTTGAAGGAACGGCAAAACCTCCAGAGTCGTACTGCTTCTTTGGTTGCAGGCTACGCTATACTAGGCTTTTCAAACGTTCTATGCTGTTTTTACATTGCTCACCTTTTCGTGACTGATAATTCTCTAATCTTCGACATGTATCGGGAGCTGTCCTTCTAGCACCTATTATGAGCAAATAACTTGCTTTTATCTATGTTGGTGCAAGGGTAAATAGTATCATATGATTATTTAGATGTCAGAGAAATCCAGTCAGTTCAGCACTCCTGATGATCATTTCCATACCGCGGATCCCATCGAAGAAAGAGTGAGTTTGATAGTCATACTTATCATATCATTGGTTTTTGTTTTTATTGATGCTTTGTATCAGCTGAGTTTGCACGTGTTCATTTTGTTGTAGTCCATTTTGTCCTCTCCTGTTTACTAAGTGCACATGCTACCATCATAGAGCCTTTTTGCAAGCTGATCTGCTTGGTGAGAGTAGTCAGATTTTTTTTAGCGAGAGGATACAAATGCTATAGGTTTTATCAAGTACGAGAGAATCTGCTTCCAGCAATTTTTTCTTTCAGCAGTTTCCTGTTGATGACTTGACGAGCCATTCGCAGACTACTTATGAGGCGCTGAAACCTGCTGCTGTACAAATACTATCATTATCGAAGGTAATGACTGGGTTTTAGGTTTCCTGCTACTTCTATGCTTGACTTTAGGACATGCTCGATTTGCGTGCCGAATTATCAAAGAATTACGATTTCTTCCTGGAGAGTTTCAGCAAACTAGGTGAGTTGACGGGCACCACCCTCGCCGACAAGATGAAAAGGGTAAAGGACCATTATGACGCTGAGCTCAGCAGGGTTACTTCAGAGCAGCAGGTGAGTGTAATTATCCTAATTTGCTCATGAATTACCATATATTATTTAGACATACATCTCCGAGCTTCAACATCGAATCGACGACTATAGCAAACTCGAAGCTCTCCATCGTGAAGAAAAGGAAGCTTTAGCTCGAGACTTGGCTCTGCAACGTGACGAAGTGCAGCGGTATGCAAATACATGTGTACGATCATCTTCTGTTTGGTTTTATCACGATTTTTGCAGGCTCACCGACGAGGCTGTGCAGCTCCAAGAGAAAGTAAGAAGTGAGACTTATAAAGAAGGTATCATTGCCATGGAATTGGAGAAAAATCGTCTGAGCACTGAATATGAAGAAATTATTGAGGTATTCTACAAGTAATGTCTTCGTGTTCGTTTGATCTGTAGGTGTAGTTTTGTGTCTATACGCTGTGATTACTTTTCATAGTAGATCCCTTGCATTTTGCTAGTTAGCTTTTTGCATCTTGCTTTTGCTCCAGATTCTTTTCATTGCTTGATGTTTTTGTTGTTTCCATTTGCAAAATTTTTTAGAGCTAACTGGGGATTGCTGAAAAGCTTTATTCAGGGCAAAGATGCTCAAATTCGACAGCTACAGAAGGAACTGGAGAAGAAAACAGCTGAGGTTGTGCGACTACAAGCAGATCCAGATAGTGAGGCATTCAGAAGAAGTGTCATAGCAGAGATTCGCAATGAGCTTGAAAAGGAGTCCAAGGTTGGGTTTTGTGTGTTTTGAACAGTAAGAAATTCTATATTTTGCAGGGCAAGCTCGATCTGCTCACCAAAGGAATAAATCAGAAGAAGGATGAAGAGTGCTCACGGCTGAGAAGGGAGATGGAGTACGACATGAGAGTTTTGGAGATAGAGAAAGTATGCTCGTAGTAGTCTGCATAACTCTTTTTTTGTAATACAAACTAACAAGAATTTTGAATAGTTCATCTTTTGCAGAATCGTTCTTTGAAGTGGTTAGCTTTTGAGCGGGACCGCCTTCGCGAACTCCTCATCAGCAAATCGTCTGAAGGCGAGTCATTATGTAAAAATATTGAAGAAGAATTGAAAACTGCTATGGTTGCGGAACAAGGAGAGTACAGTGAGTGGTTTAATTTTTTTTCTTTTCTCTCCCTGCACATATATTTTAACAGAAGCGATCTACGGTATGTCTACGGGGACTCAGACAGATATCTCCTACCCAGTGTCGGTTCTTTCTGCCGTAGAAGAAGCAGCTGCCGCGTGAGTTGTAGACTAATTTCCCAATGTATTTATCATATGTTGTTGTCTCAGCCAATATGCTGATATGAGGGATAGTGTGTTTGCTGTCGAAAACGTTCCTATGGCTGTGGAGGAGTCTGTGTAAGTTTCTTCATTGGCGTTCTGGTATCTTTCTGAAGCGTTTTTCTTAGTTTCGTGCCTGGTGATGTGCAAGCTCCAGGCGATGAGCGTAAAGAAGTCTGCATTCAAACGAGAATTGGTGAGTTTTATCCTTGGTAGTAAAATCAACCCATGTTGCATCAAGTCGTACCGATCTTCCTTCACCTTTTGTAATCTGATTTTTCTGTTCGTAGCTTTTGCGCATGCTTGTAAATCTGCTGTTCTCGAAAATGTGAGAAGTCTTTCAGCTGTGATAAGCGCATTTTTTGCTTTTGGCGACACATACTGTCTTGCGTTCTAAATAACATCATATATTTTGCATTACTAAATTCATTACCAAAGTGTGTTGCTGGGCCATGACGGGTATCATGTCACTGGATTAAGAAACCCCATTTAGCCCCATCATAACTTTTTATCGGTCATCACGGCTTCGATAGCACGTAACTCAACACATTTTTGAATAGTTTTTGTGATGAGTAAAATCAAAGTCTTAATCAAAGTCTCTTGCAAGATAAGGCTTTGAAATTTTGATCTGACTCTAGTAATTGTTTTGTTAAGACAGAGTAGGGCTGTCTGAGACCGCACCGAATTCTGACGTTTTTGTTATGGAAGTCTGATTGCGGCTATGAATGAAACCTTTTGAATTTCGAGCTTCTTTCTAGGACTCAGAGCTATGGATCGTATGGTGGCAGTTGAAGATATTGTGGAAGGATCTACTGTACTGGTTATATGGAATGATAGGCATAATGCTTACATGCTGTTTAGGTGGGTATCTGAGTTCCAGGAGTTTATGCTTTTTTTTCTGTCGCTTTCGCGCCGTGATTGCTTCTTCATACCGTTGTTGCATCTGGCGGCCTTTCATCAAAAACAGATGCAGAGATTGAAGCGGTAGAAAAAATCACTCATGTTGTTTTATTCTAGCTTTTTTAAAATCTGTCACTCTTATATTACAAAATCATGTCACATCATTATGAATTACAGTCATTATAGCAGTGAATTCGCTTATTAGGCAACTCTTTCAAGAATGAGAAGTTTTGAGAAAACATGACTAGAAAACCAGCGAGATTGATTACATCTGAAATCCCCTCAGTCTTGACTCTGACTGGAGGCGTTCTGTCAGTAAACTTTTCATGTTTATAACACGCAATTCAATAGATTTTCATTACTGTGGTACTAGAATCGAATGGAATTCTTAGATTAAATTATTTATTGAAACTCAAGTGTTTTTTGATTTCCCGTTTCGAGCTTCTACTCTTCCACAAAACGTTAGCACCTGCCAAATTGGGATTTTCTTCACAAGAAGCATGAAATCCTCAGCAGTAGGAAGCTAACAATCTTCCAAAAAAAACTTCTGGACTACCCTCATATAATTTTTGCATATTCTTTGGTATGAATTTTATTATGTTTGGATGGCCTTTCTGCTATTGTAGAATCATCGTAAATTGCAATACTGATGTCTGTTTTCAGCTCATCTACATATAGTCACTTCGTCAAGGAATCATCAGTTCGCCGGCTTGGTCTTGCAACAGCTGTTCCCAATGTGCCTCGCCGAAACTGGATTCTTGGCAAAGTGTCCCATCTTGATCTTTGCATCATTCGCAAGGCAGATAATCGGTAGGGAATTAATATTTCTGTGCTATTTTTTCATCTACAAAGTTTCCAGTTATCGTCTTCCTGTTGACACGAGAGTCTATCGCGTTGATGTTGAACCCCTGGAGGGAAGATTGCCGCGCTCTGAACGAATGGCAACGTAACCAACATGTATCGTTAGATTTCTGCGATTTTCTCTGTTCTCTGATTTTGTAGAAATATGTGTAGTTTTTGCGTAAGAAAAAGTTTTTTTATTTGATGATTTGTGCTTGCTTGAGAAAGTTTCTTTATGGATCTAATTAGTGCAGAGCATTGGAAATTATTCATTTTTGGTGCCGCAATATGCATTTCCATTCATCTCTTTCATAAGCGGTTTTTGCTACTGTCTTGGTCCTTGTATCATAGTATATCAATTTTCTTATAGGTGAACCTCGATTATGTAATTTTACGGGTACAGCTATTTTTTTTTCTTCTGTACATGTCTGCCAATCCTCTGGCAAAATGTCGTTTCCATATTATAACAGCAGTTTATTGCTCCGGTGTATCGTGCTAACTCCTCAAGAGGTTGGGATTAAGAGTCTTCAAAAATGCCTCGAACTTCATGCCAATGTTTGCTGTACAGTTGTATCAAATCAGTTGTGATTTCTATGAATTCTTTTTTTTTTCTTTTTGAATGTCCTCGTCGTTCACTTAATTTCGAGTTCATTCGATTTGTCAGGAATAAAATTTGTTTGTGTGCTTGTACTGATTTTAGAGATATGAGTTTGTCATTTAGAGCTCGTTAGGAAATTTTGTACCTTGTTTAATAACTCTTCTTTCTAGACGTGTTTACTGCTGTTCGGGCGAGCAGCGAAGCCAGCTATTCGAGGAGCTAGTTATTGGCTGCAGGAGCCAAACATCCTATCAGCTTCCAGATGGGCGGAGTAACTCCACCCATTCGGACTTCGTCAGTCAATCACCACTGAGAGGTCCGGCTTTGCGTACCTGCCCGAATAGCATTTCTCACGTCCAGGAAAATCAGTTTTTGACATTTCTTGGACAGCGTACTTTCGGGATGGCCACAGTGGGAAGGACCTCTATAGCAAAAAACTCCAAAATTGCTTTTCTACGGGCACTTCCTTTTCTACCCAGTGACACATTACAGTACATCCTTTTGCCACTGACTGCTGGTAATGTCTGAGTGGGTCACATGAAGCTATAGAGAGAAAACTTTTTTTGCACATTATTTATCTGGTCCCGTTTTGCCGCGCTTGTCTCAGGAAATGCAAATGATAGGCAAAAAAAAACTTTTGGAAACAATAACGTCTATAAATAATTCTTCCAAAACCGCAAATGAATGCACGCGTGGAGATGACGTAGAGGCGTCATGTTTGGTTTGTACATATTTTGTGATTAGATCGCAAAGAAAGGATCGTCTGAGGAGGAAAGTTCGACATTTATATGTGTAAAAATTATCAGTCCAGTAAGCAAGGGCTCAAGAGCAGCTGCATGAACTCGTGCTTGAAAAACAAGTGTGAATCTTCGCACGCTACCGTATACCAATCAACGCCCTCGAGTGCACTGATTTTGTGAAATTCGGTAGCGGCATATAAGGTACTTAGCGAGATTTCAACAAATTCACGACAAGGCTGATTTTTCGAATACTGCCGTTTCGGACCAGAGCCTTTTTCACTTTGTCAAACTTACGACCCGCCCGTGGGTCGTATTGTCCCAAATCGTAGTCTTTAAAAAATGAAAATATGTCTCCAAGAATTTCTCCAGAGGGGTTATCGAAGGCGCTGTTTATCACAATATAATTTACTTCAGATTTTGGGATTACACAGAAAGGTCACGGTATCATTCTGTACGAACTCAATGGATTTTCATGAAAAATTGTGTTTTGGGATTGTTTCACGTGCTGATCACGATTATTGTATTCAATCTGTTCCCTACTGCCCCACAGAGGAGCCACGGTAGCACTACGGTAAAATTTTAGTAAGGATTAAGAAAATGATGAAAGAAGGCGGTATTCGAACTTGAAACTGTCATCGTAATCATCATGCTATAAAACCCATGTATGTAAGGTTTGGATTCTTGGGGGGAACAACGAAAAAATCAACAAAATCAATGAAATCAATCATTTTTCTGATGGGCTAGCATTAGTCTCTCGCCCGTCTCGCACTGGCTGTGAATGTACACTTGAGTGTACAGAAACAGCATCATTTTAAGTAGAACTTGAGCTAAAGTCTGTGCCTTATCTCTATTCACTTATACTTACCGTAACGTTACATTACAATTTCCCAAGCCTGAACCACTCTAGCTGGAGCTTCGCTTAGGTGCCCAATCATGTGCCAGAATTCTGTAGAAATCGTAAATTGGGAAAGCTAGAGCTTCAGAAATCTTACGATCCACCGGTGGGTCGTATCGTCGTGGACGTGTTAGTAGCCACGAATGCATAAGTATGAGCTGCAGCTTCAGACATGACTCAATGTTACGCCTTTGAGTCAGTCCCAACTCAAAAAGTATACGTATGCAGATTTTCTGGGTTCAGGTACAAAAGTAAACAACCAACCAAATAATGAGTTTACAGCTTACTTCACGGTTTTCGAACTTTATGAGAGCGTCTATTATACGTATTACATGTCAGGGGTTTGCATTTCAATGTGTTTTTTCCCCTTCCCCCTCTCTCTCCCTCAAGTCTTGCTGTTTTTGATTTCGACGTTGTCGCACTTCCTTACAGGACCACAGAATTCCTCAGACACGGAAGAAATGATTTTGAAGCCACCATAACAGAGATCAAAAGATTGGCACTTTGCTAGAGTAGGCAAGGCGAAGTTGGCGATGCCGTGTACATTATAGGCAAGAGCCAACAATATAAAAACTTTCACAGATGTAATTTGAACCAGAAGCAAACGATAGCCACATTAAAGGATCCTTTGTTCGGATCCAAAAATTGGGCACTTCGAAGTTGCCAGCACAAAATCAGACTACAAGTGCTTTAAAGAAATATGCGATTTGCCACAATTGCCTCGAAAACAAGCGAGAAAAAATGACCAGTTTCGAATATTCTGCGCAAGGGTTGTCATTGAAGGAGAGCGCGAGAAAATAGGAGACGCAGACGATCAGAGAAGAAATATCAGATACAGTTGAGTAGATTTTCCGCTCAACGTAGTGTGCTTGCGGTGTCGAGAAAATGCGGTAAAATTTGCGCGTGAGCAAATAGCTATGCCTGTAATGCCAGTCGCTTGCGCGCGCAGAATGCCGGCATTACTAGTGCGTCTCTTCGTTCACGCGCAAATTTTACCGCATTTTCTCGACACCGCAAGCACACTAAATTTTGCTTTGATCGTGTAACTTGCGCAAATTCGGAAAGTCCATGCGTCAGTACCATCATTCTGTTCATGTTCAAATGACTACCAGCACTGTAAATGTGCAAATGTGCAACATTTATGCCGACCAATTTCTACCTGAATTCTCCGTAGTTTTCTTTTGTTTTATGCTTCATTATTTCTTCTGGGTTCTGAACTTTTTTACTCTAAGCATTTATTTTTCAAGGAGATCTACAGCTGTTCACCAAAATTTACGAAAAATCATCTTAGGAGGAAACACGTAGAATATTATTCGGTGCTTAAACACAGCTTTTACCCAAATTTTCCTGCATCTCGTTCCATTCATCCTTTGAATTCTGGAATTTCAACTTCTCTGAACATGCTTATGTTCAAAAATGAGGATACTAGGAAGAACACCAGAAATAATATCTGAGCCTCATGGTCAGACTTTTAAGAAATGTGCAATTGCACACATTGTCAACGAAGCCTTCTCTACCGTGCATTCGTTGTCGTCACACTTGGAGAGTAGGCGGAGCATTGTAAATTTGCTAATGAGATGAGACAGGTAATGTCTGACTCCATAATCATGCATAGTTATTGAGTTCTCACTGCTACGACTAGATTCGCCGATACGGTATCGGATACCGTATCTCCGCCTACTACTAAGTGATGGCACATTTTACATCGTACTCGAACGTGTTATCGAATAAGTGCAAGAAGATAAAGTTAGGTTTGGTCAGTCACACCTGCAGGGTCCAAACCATCTTCAAGTAATTTACAATGATATCCAATTTGGTTATCTGTTATTATTAATAAATTCACGCATAAAGAGGAGAGTGAGAAAACGTGAAGAGAAAACTGGCTGATGTATCACAAATCCATCAAAGAAGGTAAATGAAAGTAAGAAGAAATGAGATGCTCACAAGATTTGTCACCTCACCTTTTTCGAATGTAATAAGAACATTAATCGCGATAAATTGTAAGCTGAAAGTCTTTGTGTTTAGAATTTTTATCCCAGATTTACCGTCTTTGGGAAAATTCTACTCTCAAGGCATGACGATAGCTCAAGTTAAAAGGACTACATCGGGGGTGTTTGCAGAATGTAATAGGATAGTCACTTGTCAAAAAGGCTATGACCATTTTTTGTAACGTCAAACAAAAGAGCAATTTTATGACATATTCCATTCTCGTCGTCAGAAGGTTTACAATTCACAAGTTCAAATTTTTAATCCTATGTTAGGGATGGTCTGTAAAAAAGCTCCTTCTGTGTGAAAAAAAATCATGTGTTTTAGCAATGCTACAAGTGATTCTGATTCTGTAAACTTAATTAAAATAGGTTTTGATATATTTTTGCAAAACTGGCCAAACTATTGTGAATGGATATTGCATCATAAAGCAAAATCTTTATATCTTTGGTAGCTTACAATTACTGAGTTTTCTCTCAAACTTCTTGAGCGATTTGTTCTGCCTCAAAAAAATTCATTCTTTTGATCACCAAACGGATTGATTAGACGATCAATGATTTGTTGCACCTTCATCTCACTTCGCCTCGACTCACTCCTAACTTCATAGCTTGTATCACAAGCCTTAACTGGAGCATTAGATTCTCAGAGAAGCTCTTTTACCTTTTAATGGTAAGATTGTGTCATTTGTTTCACTTTATAAGCATCTAAAAGGGCTAATTCCAAACAAAAGCGTACAGTTTACCATTGCAAAGCGACGCGACTGCGGCGATCGAGCACCCAACATTGGTGCGCGTCGGATGGAAACGGTAGAACCCAATAACCGCTTTCGCACCGCTTCACTTGCGCTTCATTCACATAGGCATCTACTTTCGTACGAGATCAGCCTTTACTTCAGTTTAAAATCGATCATCATTTTCTTCTGGATTGTAGGAAAAAAGCCCAACAAATTTTTCACCAACAAATGTGGAGAATACACTGTATCACGAATACTTGTCAAACAACGAATGCTATAATCGCTCCGTGAGTTCTCTAACTTTTCTTGTCAAATAATCAAGTCTCTCCAAGCATATTTTGAAAGTTAACATCGAGTTGCTGTAAGAGCCTAGTTTAACTGAAATTCGATCATCCGAGAAAGAAACGCACCTTTTCTTGTTTCCGTCGCTTCCTGGAGAATTGATGCTTGTCAGTATCTTTTGAGCAAGCTATCTTGCTCTTATCTGTTAGACTTACCATTGCTCAACTCAAAGACGGTTTTATGGAACTGTTCTGCCAAACCTACAATAGCTCGTATTTTTGAAAAAGCGACGCAAAGTCACCCGATTCATGTGTCATCACCGTATTGTGGCCATATCTCGCTTTAGAGTGGACGAATTCTCCCAAAAGCACCATTCGACTTCGCTTGGCGCGGCGCATCTTCTGATACATAGAAGTGCTTTTTTGACACTGTAGGAAGCAAGATTCTACGAATCGTTTCAGGTATTTGCTTACCGTATTTTGCCCAGTGAGAGGATAAGCAACACTGATTGTGAGTAACCTACCGTAAGCAAAAATCTGAAACGAATAATGAAATCTGACCTCCTACTGTGTCCAAAAGGGCACCTCTATATATCAGAAGATGCGCAGTGCCGAGATGAGTCGAATGGTGCCCGTGGAGCAAGAATTCATCCACTCTGAAGCGTATGGCCACGCTGCGGTGATGTCACATGAATCGGGCGACTTTGCGTCGTTTTTTCAAAAACTACGATCAGTGTTGTATGAATTAATGTAGTCATGGCGATTATTAATTCAGTTAATTCGTTTGCAAATCTTGAAGCGTTTCCCATGACTTTACTCATTTCAATTATTGTCTTTCATATTTATGGCATTATATAATTTATGTTGTGAGCTACAAGTTTCCACAAACCATTCGATTTTTGATAGGAGAAGAAAATCTGGGCGTTTTTCGCTAAGGTGATTCAAGGCTCTACGGTTTTGATGCAAAGATGTAGCAGTGTACAGACAACTTATATCGAACACATTAAGAGCAGCATGAATCGGCAGATTTGGCATTTGTAGCTTACTACATAATTTATGATATTTATTTTCTCTTATTAATTGCACGTGCGCCTACTACAATCCAAAAAGTCTAGCAATAGTCAGTGTTGCGGCTCGGTGTGCTCAGCACCCCTCGCCCTAGTGCTCGTCCGCCTGACAACACAACTCCGAACTCCAGGGCATACCGCTTCAACGCTAGTGTGCACTCCTAGCGCGTCTACTCGACGCCGACACCCCTACCCGTACAAACAAACAATCACAACACGACTAGATTAAATCACATTTACTAAAACATAAAAACAAACACAAAAAACCTAAAACTACTAAAAGAACTACTACTACTAGAGAAAGAAAATGAGCACGGGACGAGCCGCTTCGTCCCGTGCTGCCGATGCTCCAAGAAGATCATCTCCAACGTGTACTAGTTCCGGGTCCTCCACTGGGTCAACCGCAAGCCCCTGGCCCATGCGGGACGGCGTGACCCCTCTCCACTCCCGCAATCCTTTTCAACTACTCGCTAGACTACAACCTTAGCTGCGCGTCTCCATATACAAGAAGATTATCAAAGGCTCAACCGCTCGAAACCGTTGATCATCTGCGGGAGCTACTGGAGGCGCTGCCAGCGGGTTGATATCATCAAACGATCGATAACGAACGGAACTCGAGGAGGCGTAGACCGCGGCCTGCGCGCCCTTATATACCCTGTGATTTGGCAACGCGCCCAGTAAGGGAGAGGTCTTGGCGCGAAATTGATAGCGCGCCAAGTAACGCGGCAGCCAGCGCTCCCGGCCTCCTGTTTCGAGGAGTGGCTTGCATCGCGCGAGCCGCGACACTCCCCCCCGAAACAGTGGACTTGGACGTTCGGATGGTGGTTACGTGATAGCGCTGGAGTCCACAACGGAGGGCACCTAACTGAGTGTAGCGAAAAAAGAAACAATGCCATCAGCAGCACAGTAGAGCGCGCGACGAAAAAGTTGGATGAGTAAAACCCGGCCCGCGCTGAAATAAACAAGTAATAAGCATAGCGAAAAATTATACAACACAAGATTAATCGCACGTAAATATGGAAATAGATGCAAACAAATATGGATATATACGAATAAATGGATAGAAGATAAACTACTAAACAGCTAAGTAAACTAACTACTAGACAAAAGCAACTACATACAACAAAAGTAACTACATACAATGACTAAATATGAAAAATGTGGGCGGCTAAATGCGCAATCAGTGGACCATCATACTGCATCCAACCAACCAAGTGACCATGTGTAGACCAGCGCGTACCGTAACTGCGATGACACTCGATCGCACGTCCACACGCCAACCCTTGCATACTGCTCGATCTTGCTGAAACAATCGCAATTTGGGTCGAATAAATCTCAACAAATCATACTCTCACTCCTCTCTGAACACTGCTACGCACTAGCTCGCCCTAATTTTACTTACGCGCGCCGCGGTGAGGCCACGGTGTTCAAGCGCGCGCTTACACAACACCCAGATGGAATTGGGTTACGGGTAACTAAAATAACCAGAAGACACGACTAACACACTAGCTCTATAGATTTTGCTCGCGCAAAAACGGGCGTTGTCACTTGCTGCTATGCAGCGATAACTACGCGACCAGCTAAGTAAAAGAGTGGACTTCAGTCCAGCCTCCCGCGAGAACAGGGTGATGTAACCGGGCACTGGACGATGGCTGGTCTCCTCGTTGATCACGGCGGAGCGAAGACACATGATTATGTCGTGGATGGCTGTGCGTAGACCATTGTATTTCTATAGTGCCTCCTGGCTGAACGACTCGACCTGAACAAAAAAAATGTGTATATACTTGAATCAAAACGCGCGGATGTTTTGCGCTGCTAAAACATAGGATAGTGATGGTAAAAGTCGTTTGCGCGTGGTGTAAAATGCGCTATAGGTAGGTATATATAAGGTGTAAAGGGCTCAATACAAGAAGGAAGAAATTGAGGAAAAAAATAGAATTTGAAACAGTTTTAGTAGGGTAAGTGTGCACAAGGTTTGGATAGGACGCAAAATGATGGAGTGCACTTCCAGGGTGTCCCGAAGGATAAGAAAAGAAAATAAAGAATGAAAGAAGATTGGATTTTGCTCTTCTTACTTGCATTGTTCCCTTACTGAGGTCCCTAATCTATGGTAGTCGACAGAGTCGATATGCAAATTTATTGCAAAGAAGCCCAGAGGTGGAATTGTCAGCATGGAGTGAGCTACAATGGAGCGCTAAACGTTGATACAGCAAAATTACATAAGCACATCAAAAATATGAGAAATGACTTTTAAAAACTACTGAGATAACAGATACAAAGGAAATGTGAGCGCGTAACGGCTCTAATCTAAGGCGTATGACGAGCGCCATTCGCTGATGTTGCTGCTTTCTCCGTTACTTTCGAGGCGCGATCGCGCTGTAACCTGCATTTCGCGTCGGGACCTCAAAGGTGTTGAAATTATAATTAGGACGGAAAAAGACTAAGTAATCGCGCGACTAGCGCTCAATCATCGATAAAGATGAGGGAAATGAAACAGAATAAGAAAGTAGATGAGGGAAAATAATGAAATCAGAAATTTTACTTACGCAAAGATGCTGTATCCTCCTAGTTACTTCTTGGACACTCCACGGTGACGACGTTGCGCCTTCGCGCTACGCTGACAATCGCTTTGAAAGGGCTCCTCACTCTCCGCTACGACTTCCAGAGGCAATAAATGATTCACTGCACGGTCGACCACCCTCCTTTTGCCTGTTCTGATTCTGGCTGATCTTATATTGCCATCTTTAGAGGTGTGTAGTTCCAAAATAAGTCCTAATGGCCAGCTTGATCTCGGCGCGTCCTCTTTGATGAGCACAACTTCACCGACTCTTGGTAATTTCGTAGAAGACCGGGTTTTAGCGCGTATAGCTTCTCTTTCTGCCAATACTGATAGGTACTCCTTTTGCCAAACATCCCAAAAACGGTCTAAGTCGGTCTGCAGTGTCCTGTAGCGCGTGTTAAGCGCTTGATAGTTGTCGCTCGACGAGTTCTTAACCTTCTGAGGCAGACTGTGAGTCAAGCGCGCCATTCGGAACTGTGGCGATATCGAATCGATCGGTCGAATAGCCGCATTTGCACTGGGATTTACCGAGTTTACCGGAAAGAGTGGCCTGGTGTTAAGAATGGCCTCTATCTCTATGATGAGCGTTTCGAAGAGCCAGAGATCCAAAGTCTGATTCCGTATCGCCTTCTTCAGCGCGATCTTCACTGATCCGACCAATCTCTCGTAAAATCCCCCTTTCCAAGGCGAATACGGGGTTATGAAACTCCACTTGATGTTATGACTCATCAGAAATTCGTCCATCTGGGAATCATCCGTAACCGTCGTCAGCTGATTCTTGATAATCTCCTGTCCCAATTTGAAGGTCGGCGCGTTATCGCTGGTAACGCTGTCCGGTGTTCCTCTGCGTGCCATAAACCTTCTGAAAGCAAGTATAAACTGAAACGTGGAGTTGTCTCTTACCACTTCCAAATGCAGCGCGCGCGTCGACATGCACGTGAAGAGGCAAACCCATACTTTATGGCGATCGCAGTTCAGCAAACGAACGGAGATAGGCCCAAAATAATCTAATCCAACGTGCTGGAACGGACGACTCCTCGTAACTCTTTCAGCTGGTAAATCAGGTGGACTCGGATAGGTGCATGGGCGACCCTGATATCTTTTACAGATTACACACCTGGAAATAAACGATTTTATTATACGTTTTAGTTTGGGTATGAAGAATCTCTCACGTAGAGCAGTTATCAAATGTGACGGTCCTGCGTGAAAGAGCTGATGATGGTAATGCGCGATCAACTTCTCGCAAAGAGGATGAGATGAAAGTATGAGGATGGGATTCCTACTTATATCGCTCATCTGCGCGTTGGTCATACGCAAGTCAACTCTTATAGTACCGTCCGTATCGTATTTCGTGTGGAGTTTCTTCACATACGATCCGTCCATTTGGCGCTGACTTTCGCGATAATGTTCGCGTATGAGTATAAGTTCAGCTGCCGTGAAATCGTCCGATGTTATAATGGGAGTAGTATCTATCGTGCTAAAAAGAGAGCATTTGTCCTGATCTTCACGCTGAAAGCGCGTCTTGACTCTATGACGCAGCTTAGAAAGGTATTTAAGGACGTATGCTGTAATACGAACTAACTTCGCGTACGAATTCGTACGTGTAAACGGCACGAAAGATCTATACGTCTCTTGGATGTTACTAACCGAAGAAACAATTGCCCTTGGTACACGAAGTTCTTCCGATTCTGCTTCTGCGGGTGTTACATGTGATGGCTTGAAAGCCTTGCAGGGCCACTGTTCGAAGGGCGTCGTGAAAAAACCGGGACCTGTCCACCAAATGTGTTGTTCAAGTTCAGATGTTGTCAATCCCCGGGTGGCACAGTCCGCTGGGTTCGTTTCCGTGGCCAGGTAATAGAATCCGGTGGCGATTTCGTCTGCCTTCAGCTCATCCAAAACGCGACGAATGTACTTGACACGATTGATGACGTAGGTTTTGAGGGGCTTGTGGGACTGTATCCAGTAAAGGACAATCTGCGAATCAGTTAGAAACCTGATGGAATGGAATCTAACTTTGAGCTGGCTTCTCAAGAACTGCACTGTTTTTGCTGCCATATGACAAGCAAGGAGCTCCATGCGCGGAATCGTAATAGCGCCGGGTGGAGCTAACTTTGCCTTAGCAAAGAGTAGAGATGACTGAGGCTTGCCATTATGAGGGCGCGTCACGATGTAGGCAGTCATGGCATACACTCGTTTGGACGCATCTGAACACACGACCAGATCGTACGTATCTTCTTCGGTATAGCCAATGAAGCGCGGCATCCTCAGCTGAAACTCGCTTATGTCCTGCACGATCGTGTTCCACTTCTGGATATCCTCCTCAGTCAGCATATCGTCCCAACCATAACCGGACTCCCAAAGATCCTGTATGAAAATCTTGGGTTTTATCAGCAACGGTGTCAAGAATCCTAGGGGATCGAACGTCGACGCGTAAACTTGTAGTGCGGTCCTCTTACTAACAACTGGTTGACGCGCGATATTGATAGGCACGTATAAAACATCAAGCTTAGGATCCCATTTGACTCCTAAAAACTTAGCGAAATGTCCTTGGATAGTCATGCAGCTTTCTTGAGGGATCGCAACTAATGCTTTCTGATTGTTGGACATAAACTCTCGAAGGTTCATGCCCATCCTGGCAAAGGTGTCCTTGCACTCCATACACTTGTCCACACAATCCTGAGTGGTCTTCGATCCTACTATCACGTTATCCACGTATGTGTTGGCAAGGATTTCCTCTTTGAGACGGTTCGCTGGATCCTGTTCAAGAAAGTATCTGATGGACATGCTAAGTAGGAATGGTGATGCGTTTATGCCAAATGGCAGACGCGCAAAGCGCATAATACGTAGATTTTCCGTTGAGGGTGGTTGGTGTACGTCCTTCAACCAGAGAAATCTAGTACAGTCTCTTTGATCCTGGTGTAGATGAATCTGATGGAATGCTTTCTCCACGTCCGCGATGACAAGATAACGGTGGAAGCGGCTTCGCATCAGGGTTCCTACCAGGTCGGGTAGCAGGGACGGTCCTTGATGAAGGCAGTCATTGAGACTAGGAAAACCTTTCTGGTGGCTAGACGCATCAAGGACGATTCGTAACATTGTAGTCGAGCTCTCCTGCTTGTGAACGGCTTGATGTGGTATGTAATAAACATTGGGGCCTCGCGCGACAACGTGCGTGACATCTTCTATTATTCCTCTCTTCAACTGCTTCTCAAATGTCTGACAATATTCGTCCCATACCGATGGTGTAGCGCGAAACTTCTCGTACTGATTTTGCAGTCGACGAAAGGCTAGGGCCTTGTTATCAGCAAGAGGAGGATGATTCGATTTCCATGGAAAGGAGACATAGATCTTGCCATCCTCGATCCTGACCGTGTCGTAGAAGTGCTTGATGACGTTAGCATCTTCTGCATTCTCATGTTCTTCCATCGCAACTGTGTCGAGGCCAAGAAGACTTCGCACAAGATGGTCGCTTACCGGCTCGTCATCCGTAAAGAGGGTCTTGGAGGCTAAAAGGGTATTGGAGACAACCGGGTACTTTAATCCAGATAGAACTGGTCCAAATCTCGTGTGCGACAAAGTCAAGCCAGATGGTAACTTCTCGTTCTTGTGCAAGTCTACAACCCGCCAATAGTTATCAATTCCAATCAACACATCGACCTCGACTCTATCCTCGTAATCGACGATGTCACTGTCGTTTCGAGTATTAGTCCGTGGGACCGTCGTGATGGTCTCGCGCGTCCATAGCTCGAGTTCAATCGGATAGTTATACTGGTCCCAGAGTACGAGTGTGACCTCTGACGATTCCTCCGTAAACTGATGACCTCCGAATGTCAGAGTTGTAACTTCCTTAGTGTTGCGGAACGGTAAGCCTAAGTGTTTGGCTAGCGACGTACAGATGAAGCTGTGCTGCGAGCCACTGTCCAAAAACACTGTCAGAAGCTCATCCGTTCTCGTCCTATAATTCTCCGTCACAGCATGTACTACCATTAGGCGTGGCTCCTGGTGCACTGACTCTTGAGAACAAACAGAAGTGCATGATGATGGTGAATGTGAGCCTACGCAAGCCTGTTGTTGATCAAGAGGTTCTGCTTGCGCGTCTCTGGTAGTACAAGGTAGGTCAGTAGTACGGGTGGCGCTGTGTACTGCGGATGTAGGGCTACGTGATCGGCGCGCGGATGGGGCACGCCTAGCTGGTGAAAAAGAAGACTGTCGCCTAGATGGAGATGGCGATTCAGAATGAAGATTGCGCGATGGAGATGCGCGTGAGCGGCTACTATACTCGCGAGGTGGATCATAAGTTTCTCTTTGAAACTGCACGCGTCTAGGAGAGTAGGATCTCCCCGGACCTGGATATGTAGTCCTTTCACCGGATGGAAGTCGTGGTCGCGATGCGCGTGGGAAATCCATACAAAGAGCCTTATGGTGTAATCTGCCGCAGTATCCACATGGTGATGCATTACAATAAATGTAAGTGTGACCTTGTTCCAAGCACAAAAAACAGAGCTTATGACGACTGACAAACAATCTACGCTGCGCGATATCCTGCACAATCCTGCATCGCTCTGATGAATGTCCAAGGTCACAACAAAAGGCACACTGAGGCTCGTAACGAGCTACATAACGTGGTCTACTGGGACTGCGCGACGTAGTGCGAGGATAGTATGGTGTTGGTGGTCTGTTATGCCTGCTGTAGGGTGATGGTGTGCGCGACTGAGACGAACGTCGAGGGTAATACGATGACGTGCGATAGCGCGTAAACGCTGGATCATTGCGACTCGCGCTCGGATACCTACGCGGCGAAGGAGAAGATTGACGAGATACTGCTTGAGAGTTATACGAATGATAGTCCGATGGGTCAGCATCTTCCACGGTTTCCAATCTATCGATGATGGTATCCAACGTCGAAAGCAACTCATCCACTGTCCACATCGAATCTCCCTTCGTCTTGTATTCGCCAATTTTCTCGCGTGTACGTCGAGGAAATTTGGCACGAATGATCTTAAGCGTGCCAATGGCGCTAGAGTCCTCCTTGAGATGTTTCAATTGGGACCAAATGGCCTTAACGGTGCAAAGTGTCGCGCGTTGCGACATTGGCGATTCTGATGCTGGTGGCTGCTGCATCAGTTTGTCCCAGAGTCTATTTCGGAGAATCTCCGGCCTTCCATACGTATTAGTCAGGGTCCGTACTGCGTCTTCATAGTTTTCTGCCGTAGACTGAAAGCCGGCAATAAGGCTCGCGGCTGGTCCTCGTAGATGTGACTTGAGGTACATAAACTTGAGTGATACTGGCACACTGATGTTGTTATGCACCGCTGTCGAGAAGAGATCCCAAAACTCCAAAAAGTTGTCGACATCTCCGTGGAAGGTTGGAATCTCAAAAGTAGGCAACTTCAATGACTGTTCCATGGATGGGTAAGGAAGGTTGGAGTTAGGGACTGATGAAGAAACGAAAGGATTCGACGGGGGAAAAGTTGAAAAGGGGTTTGCAAAAGTTGGGTGGGATGAAGGGACTTGTGAGGGGTGGTCGAATCCTTGCACGACGCTCTGCGCGCGTGCGGGTGGGGAAGTCCGATCAGCTCGCGCGACTGCGTCCGGATCAGCTGGACGATCCTGGTCATGCGACGAAGAATGGCTCGCGACTTCCATTCTCACATCCTGCGGTGGCTGACGGGTACAAATGGGGTCCAGGGCCGGATTAGGAGTAAGGTTACAAAGAGAGGGTGGAACAGTAGAAGCGCGAAAAAGATACAATGCCTCCGAGCTCGTCAAGAGTTTGATCGCAGCGTCGACACGATCACGGAGAGTTTCGGCCTCCTCCACAAGTTGATCCAGTTCACTGGCGTCCCAATGCTCCTGAATCTGTTGGAGAAAGGGGAACTCGCCCTGCTCGTCAGGATGCTGACGCGCAAACTCTTCGGCCTTCTCTCTCTGGGCGCGAAGTGAATCAACAGTACGAACAAGAACAGTAAAATTGAAAAATAACAAACTTTTACGATTGAGAATGAACTGTGAATCCCTACCTGCCTCCGTGGTAAGATCCACCGGTTCCAAGATGGCCTCATCGAAGTCCGCGATCTTCTTACGGAGCGATTTGGCGGCCTTAGTGATCTGGGCTTTGTGGGCACCAAGCATCGACATAATCTGAAAAAGAGAAGAAAGGAAAACAATAAATAAAAGGTAACGATATATACATGAGCGATAAATATGAAGTGGTTAATATATGAGAAGGATGACTAGTTTCACAAAAACATAAATGGGATGAACGGCGACTGAAGTTATCACAGGCGTAAGGCAAAGAAGTACGTCTGGGTGTCACTGAAGAACCTGCACGACACTGAGTGGCGCGCGTATAACGAGGTGCAAGGACAAGTGACCTGCCGGAGGTCGGCCAGAAACTATCCAGGGCTCCTACTGACGAATCGGAGAGGCATCCTCTGATAACCCATGGGCACTTGGACCATATCCTAATAATGAACCGTGCATCCTGCAGCTGTCGCCATCCTGCATTGTTCGCGTCCTGATTGTACTTTCCTGTCTCCTGCGCGACAGTCCCCGAGTTCCCTGCACGGCTGCTCCCCGCTTGTACTAGAGGTGGTGGCGTACTAAAGGGGCGTAGAATCAGAGGTGCAAGTGCGCGTTTTGCACCAAAGAAACTTACCTTACGGTACCCCATGAGGCACTACTTTAGAGGGCGACTACAGGTCCTTCATTGGGCCAATATTGTAAAAAAGAAAAGAAATATGAGGAAGGGAGTATACTACGGGGTCAAAGCTAGCCGGGTTTTGGAAATACTAAACTACAGTAGAGTGAAAGAAGAGAAGGAGGTGTGAAAGAAAAACTAACTGGGTTTGAGTTCTAGGACCCTCTAGTACTGACCCTAACCCATATGCCCCTACTAAATGCCCTAAATGTATTGAAACCCAAATATTACAATGTACTAAACCCCTTAAAACTACCCCATGCAAAAAATTTCAAAATTACACTATATAACCCGAATCCCGAATCCCCGGTTATGGTCCAAGCTCCTAATTCTATAGGACGGTGCCGATCCCGTACCCCTGCGCTTCCCATCGCGTCGGACGATACAGCTCTATCCCTGCGCGTCCACCGATACAACTCTGCGCAGCTCCTTTCATCCAATCGATCCTCCATTCCATCGCCTTCCGGATAGCGCGTGCAACGATAGAATACTTGCGCGTTCTACGATACAATACTAAGTACGCGTACAACGATACAATACTGAAATCGCGCTAACTTCCATCAATCCATCGATCTTCCACATCTCCACTTCCTGCAGCCCAGACATCCAACGTCCAATCCTTCATGGCGCGTGCTCCGATACAATTCCTGCGCGTTCGACGATAAAGCACTGATGATACGCGTACTACGATACAGCTCCTCTCGCGCCCCCTGATCATGCTTCACGCGCGCGCTTCGTGCTCAACGATACAACACCTACTGCACGTGCAACGATACAATTCTAAGCGCGCTTCGCTCCATCCAGTCTCCATCTACTCCTTCTCCATCATCCAACTGTCCTTCCAGTAGCTATCAATCCTTCAATACGTTCGTCCGGCGATCCTGTCCATCGTTCTACTCCCCAATCGCTCCTGCCAACTTCGAAGACTCGACATGTGCACGTGCTGGCACCATCTCTCTGGCGCCCCCGTGTCGAGCCCGTCAGATAACGACACCGGCCCTCCACCTGGATAGCACCTCCAAACACGACAGGCTGACCAGGTATCGCATGGCGTAGGCGCTCGACGTCGATTGGGGTTCCAGTTGGCAAGTTGCCACAGTCTTCCCGACTATTCCCCCGCGCTCTAACGCCATGCTTCTCACCCTGGCTAGCCCCGCTGCCTCGCTACCGATTACGTAGATATTCACTCCAGCTTCCTTGTTTGCCTGGTCTTCTTATTGCGTGCTGAGCGTGGTAGACATCGGGTCCGTTACGCACGCATGGAGGATGAAAAAGCGCGTCCCCAATTGACGCTAATCCCAGCATTCCAACGGTGTTGTTTCCCTGCTCGATCAGCTGAACTCCATGCGCGGGCGGAATACATCATCCACCATGCGCTCGGCGTCGATGCACCATGTTGCGGCTCGGTGTGCTCAGCACCCCTCGCCCTAGTGCTCGTCCGCCTGACAACACAACTCCGAACTCCAGGGCATACCGCTTCAACGCTAGTGTGCACTCCTAGCGCGTCTACTCGACGCCGACACCCCTACCCGTACAAACAAACAATCACAACACGACTAGATTAAATCACATTTACTAAAACATAAAAACAAACACAAAAAACCTAAAACTACTAAAAGAACTACTACTACTAGAGAAAGAAAATGAGCACGGGACGAGCCGCTTCGTCCCGTGCTGCCGATGCTCCAAGAAGATCATCTCCAACGTGTAGTTCCGGGTCCTCCACTGGGTCAACCGCAAGCCCCTGGCCCATGCGGGACGGCGTGACCCCTCTCCACTCCCGCAATCCTTTTCAACTACTCGCTAGACTACAACCTTAGCTGCGCGTCTCCATATACAAGAAGATTATCAAAGGCTCAACCGCTCGAAACCGTTGATCATCTGCGGGAGCTACTGGAGGCGCTGCCAGCGGGTTGATATCATCAAACGATCGATAACGAACGGAACTCGAGGAGGCGTAGACCGCGGCCTGCGCGCCCTTATATACCCTGTGATTTGGCAACGCGCCCAGTAAGGGAGAGGTCTTGGCGCGAAATTGATAGCGCGCCAAGTAACGCGGCAGCCAGCGCTCCCGGCCTCCTGTTTCGAGGAGTGGCTTGCATCGCGCGAGCCGCGACAGTCAGTAAAATAGTCCATCAGTGAAAACACGAAACTCAATGAACTTTGAAACATTATTGGACTAGATTATATTAACGAATACATACGATTCTGAATTTTGAATAAAAGACGAACAATAGGTACTATTCCGTGGTCGAAACTTAAAACTATAGGGGTAGTATTAATTTGATTAAGACATATTGAGCCATTTGTTCTACTTTTGTTTTCAAATTTCAATTAAGATATGGCTTTTTATTTTTATAGAACGTCTTGAGCTTACTAATTGTCATGAATATATTGAAAATGCTGTATTATTCTTTAGTCTTCTTTTTTCTTCCCAACCGTTCTTGTCAGAAAATAGCAAAGAATGCTTCGAGAAAAGACGTAAATATACTTCATTCCACGGTTTTGACTTCGGGTTGACCACCATCTCCCATATAGGGGATTTAGCTGATTATTAATTATGTTTTCAGTGTACTGCAGTCAGGTCAATGGAACTTATGCCAGCCTTACAGTAGGAACTTCTCATAACGCTTTGCAAACAAACGGAAAGAAATGTAACATGACACAGAGAGTGTAGAATGTGCGAAATGTGTGGACTATTAAGGTAAATGAAACATGTTCTCAAATTTCATGGAAAATTTTGCAATGAAAAACATGACGCTATACTTTTTGGCCACCCTGAATTATGAAAAAACACTTGACAAGTTTTACCGGTGACTAAGGCTGCAAATGCAAAGTGGCCCTTGCGCAACCGTAAACCTTATAAGCTTCAGGTTAGTAAATTTGGACTAGACGTACCCTGGAGGTTGTAGATAAAGACGCAAGTTTCTTGACTTCCATTTCCATTGACTTCGCCGGAACTTCCCGTATATTAGACAAATATGGTATGGTACTCGGAAATTCTTCAGAAGTGTTCTAACATAATCCGCCTAATATAAAATACAATTCTGTCATTGCACACTTTCTCGAGAGCCTACGGTCGAACGAAGGCGATTGGCTCAGATAAACTAAGCAGTCGCAACAGCGCTTAGCCGGTAACCGTGGGGCGCTCAGCGCGATGGAGCACGACAAATGTACACGTCATTTCCCTCATTGCAATATACTGTGCCTTTTTTTTCAAATAAAATGTAGTTTTTCGACTTGTGGACAGTAAGTTTCGACCCGCTTTAGGCGGAAATTGGATTGGCGGGAGTCCGCCTCGCAACAGCTCGCGCGTTTCGCAGCTACAGTATATCCTATCGTGCTGAGAACCCATGTCTGCGTCTCTTCAATCTCCTTAGTCTTTGCTTGGCAAAATGCCAGCGCTATGCACGCAAAGCCTCCAACGATGCGCATGCGCTGCTCCACGTAGAATGTCTCGACCAATCCGGGATGAAACCGACTGTACAGTTTGCATTTATTTTATTTTTATAGTAACTTATGCCAGTAACTTAGTCCTTTTCCAGAAAATGGTAGCTGCATTTATGTTATTCTTTCTTACCTTAGTTTCATATCTCTTTCCTGCACATGTTCATTTTCTCTTCAAGTTGAGAGATGACTTGCCGCCACTTTTCGCCCCAGAGATGATGGCTGCCCGCGCAGCCGCTCGCAACATTGGACCTAGTTTAACCGCCTTCGTTCGGCACTGGATTTAAGTGCTAAATTATGCATTATTTTCCCCTCAAGCCGACTTTGTAGTTTTTCAATCTGGTGGAATATACATCTACATATTTGTAGAGAAAATTCTTACATGAGATCGAGCTCGAGCTGCGAGAGCGGTCACACTTGTGTAAAGAATCCAGCACAAAATTAGTACATGCTTATAAAACCCTGAAATGCTACACCTATGGAGGCGTTGGAAAGGTGCTCAGCAAAACCTAGGATACATACAGAGGCACGAAAAGAGGGACTTGACATCACATATTGCCCCGTGTTACAAAAAAAGAGAGAAAAAAAGTAACTTCGGAAAAGGAACAGCTGGAAGTAATGTGAGATCTTCCGAGCGTTTCCGGTCGTCTGATAAAAAGAATTGTTCTACTGAACGAGTTTGTTGCTAAAGTACTTTGATATTAGTATAAAAATTTAGGAAGTTTTTTTATACCATAAGAATTAAAAAAGACTGACTAACCACTTTGTAAAATGAACGCTAGGAATTTCATCTGTTACTGCTCTTAGTTTGAAAGAATTTGGCGTCTAGGAAAGTCGTCTCCAGTTGCCTGATAATTTAACGCTATTGCTCTGAATTCTAGTTGACTTAAGTAAGAGTAAGATTGTAGGTAGTATGTAGTGTTCCGCGGTGTTTATAAAAGTTTCTAATTTGAGTGGTGTACTTACATATCTCAAAAAGTGACGATGAACA